AGGAACACATGAAATCTCCTCCTGCTGGACACAGGCATGCGAGTCCTTGGTAGCTGCATTGGAAAAGCTCAGAGTGGGTGTGAAAGCTGGGCATGCACAGCTCAGGCTGGGAAGGGCACCGTGAGCCTTCAGGCACCATCCTTCTTACTGCTGGCCACAGCAGTGAACGGATCCACAGAGAGCTAACTCTTCCCAGCCAGACAAAAGCCAAACACCCTGCTCCCTCAGCTGTCTGTAGGCCTGATGTTTGCTCTAGCTCAGCAGAAGGATTGTCTAGGCAGGCAATAAGTTACAGACACTGATGTCCTCTATGATAGGCTAAACAAAGGCCCTACAAAAACACCCAGCTTTTGGTTCCTGGAACCGGTGAGTGTTGGCTTACAAGCCAAAAGAGGATTTGCACATGTGCCCCAGTGGAGGATCCTGAGATGAGGAGATGGTCTTAGGCTGTCTGGATAGGCCTAGAAGTCTTCACAAAGGTTGGAAGGATATAGAAGAAAGCTGAAGAGACATGCTGTGAATTGCTACCCTCCAAGGATAAACATCCATCTTCATCAGAGCAGCTGAGAGCACTTTCTAAAGACCTTCAGGACTGGGTCTGTTGAATGCTGATGTTCCCTCAAAAAGAGGAGTAGAGAGGGTCACTCGACCTTCATCTGTGGCTCTGGCCACGCTTCCTCCTGTACCTTCCAGCCTGCTGTATATAATTCTGCCCTAATTGCATGTGACTTGAGGTGCTACAGTATACAGACTGTGAAGAGCTAGCTGAAGGGCGAGTCCATCACTGCAGCCAAGCTGGAATGAGGCTTTGCAGTGGCGTAGCAATTTTGGGGTCACCCACACTCCCGTGAGTAACTCCACCCATGCACTGAGAGCCAATAAGCCTATTGGCTCTCTAAGAACCTACAGCTTACAAGGTTGTGGGAAGCGTGAAGGTGCTGCATGGTTGGCAACACTGAAGACGGGAAAGCTGTTGATTCCCAAGCCAACAAGTGCTTGGAATGTAGCTTTAGAAGCTGTGAAGGAGAGAGACGAGGATCAGACTCTCCGGAGCCACTGGGGGCAGTGCAGTCCTGCTGATGGCTTGATTTCACTCCTATCAAACCTGTTTACAGTCTTCAAACCAACAGAACTCTAAGAGTGTAGATACATGTTGCTTTAAGTCGTCAGGCAATTTCTTATGGCAGTCAGAGGAAAGTAATACACTCCAGAAGAGAAGCTGGCTGGCCCCTGACCTCCCTTATCCCGCAGGCTTCAGAAACACCAGAGGAAGATGGATGGACAGTTGAGGCTCTCAGGAGCAGAGGCACTTGGGTGCATCCCAAATTCTTCAGGACTCTCTCAAAGCTAGGAGAACAAAGGCCTGGAAGCAGGAACACGGGACATTCTCTAGCAGGGAAAACGGAACATCAGTGAGTCTCTGACTCCGTGTGCACTGGTACTTATGCAGTAGGAATCTGGAGGAACTGCCTCCAGGGTGCAGCCATCCAGACGAGCAGGGTCATATTCAGGAGCAAGGAAAGACATCATGGTCGGTCCTGATGGTGGTGAAGCCCCCACTCGGAGAGGAACCTGGAGCTTAGGATCAAAATCAGTGCCCCAAGCCTCTAGAAAGATTGGAAGATACACAGTTGATCGACCCCAGGTGACTCTTCATGTACACGCCCTGATGCTGCTGAGAGCCCTCACCATGACAGACCTCCACCCTAGCCTGGTGCCCATGCCAGCCCCATCATAGCTCCAGTTCCTGAGCACCCACCATGCGCATTGTGACCCATGGGCTCTCCTTAGTAACTCCATTGTTTTCCTTCTTTGATCACTGAAACTCTTCACCTCACCTATTTCATTCTTCTTTTCCTTCCTTGACTATCTCTGTGAGGTTCCCGAAAGGAATTGTAATGAAGCAGGGTAAATTAATAAATAAGATGTCTATTAAAAATTTAAGATTTTATAAAAAGCCATATGGCAAATGCCTGTAATCTCAATTCTCATGAAGGTGGGCAGGAGGATTGCTGTAAGTTCAAGGCCAGCCTGGGCTACACAGCAAGAGCCTATCAATAAAAAGAAAGGGTGCTGGGAAATGACCCAGTGATTACAGTGATTCCATGCTTGTAGAATCCACACCCAGGAGTGCTTGGCTGTAATCCCAGTGTTCGTAAGAGAGGGGCAGCAAAGGCCAAAGGCTGCCAACCTGGAGTGTGGGGCAACGAGCCACAGAGGGACCCTGCCTCGAGCAGAACAGCAACGAAACAGCTGTCCTCTGACCTCTACATGAACACTGGCACAGATACCTACTCTCTCTCTGTGTTTGTCTCTCTCACACACAAATGAGAACGAAAGACAATCAAAATGAACAAAATCTCCGCAGCTGGGTGTTGGTGGCTCATGCCTCTAATCCTAATACTCAGAGAAAAATGTCCAGTCCGTGTACATGTCCTGAGATTGCTGTGCTCTTGGCATGTCATGGCTACTGCTGCCTTGAAATCATAGAAATTGTGATAAGTTGCAGGAGACCTTCACCATATTGGGGCCCTGAAATTCCCTCCTGAGGGAGAGGGGACTCACTAGACAGCTTAGGGGCGGGTTGTGAGATGGCATATGAAATTCCACTCCTCACTAAAGACATATGTAACTAACTATGGGGGGGGGTCAGAGATTGTTCTGTGGTGATGCAGCAGCCCCCTAAATCGCTTGTGCTCTTGTATCTAACTGCTAATCCATGCTTCTGTAAATAAGTCTAGGGAAACTTGCTGCTTCATCAAGTGGGACTTGGTTGGAGTCATGTTTTTGGCCTGTCATAGGGGCTCTATCCAGGTGGGTACATGTCTGTTCATGGCTCCCCAGGAAAAGCCGGATGCCCAGCTGGAATTAGCCATTTCGTACATGTGGCCTTTCTGCGAGTTCCTCTGTTAAACCTCAGACAGTGGGATGACTGGTCAGATTCCCTACTGACTCTGGACAAGCTCAGTGCCTAGTGTTCAGGGCCCTTTGCTTTTCTCTGGGGTGCTGCCATCCTTCCTGCCTAGGGTTTTGTCTCAAGACTCCAGGTCTGTGCTGTGAAAACAGGGGGGAAAGTGAATTCATGGGCTGTCCAAAAAGAAACTAGAAAGAATCCTGCCATAGCCCGCAGCGTGAGTAGCTCTGGTGTAATCTTAAGGTATAGGATTCTGTATCAGAGTCCAGTTCCTCTCCTGGGAGCCTGAGAAGGGGCAGACTCTGGTGGCTCAAGAGAAACCAGCTGCTTCAGGACTGTAGGGTTAAATGCTATAACCATAACATGGAGGAGGAAGCCAGAACTAAGTGTGAAGGTCATCAGATTGTGACAAAGCCAACAAAAACCTTCAAATGAATGCGGCTGTGTTGCTAATCTTTCCATGGACAATGAGGGGAAGGGGCGTGTGCTGGCACATGAGCCTAGTTACAGCTGCTTCCATGGAGCGGCTCAGCGGGGTAAAAAAAAGTCATCTCTGGTCTCCAACTCCCTTCCCCACTTTTGGGTTCCAGAGGCTTCAAGTGGCCTAGCACAGGCCGTAACATTAGCCATTCAGGTCAGATGTCCCTCATGTGACCTGAAGATAAGTTTTTTTTTTTTCCTGCACGACACTCCTTGGCTTTGGCCAGAAGCTGTGTGGCCCTGAGCAATGACTTACTTAACCTTTGCAGGTGGCTTTCTCTCACAAGGTGGAAATATTTACTGCGAATGATGACAATGCTTCCACTTATCAAGCAAGGCTCCACTGCTAGGTGAATGCTGAGAATTCAACAGACAGTTTCATTTATCCCTTTCAACACCTCCGTGACATAGATTCTATTATTACGGCTTTAATCTTATTAGGAAGCTGAGCATCAAACATGTAAAGCTGTTTGAGGCCTCATGGCTAATACTCCAGAACTCAGGATTTGAACTGAGAAGTCAGATTCTAGCTTCACCTAACCCTTGGTCAGAGTTTTTGGAGGACAGCCTATAGGCAGATTGGTTGGCAAAGGATTACTAAGTGTATGTAAGAACTTACATGCAAAAACAAGAAGAAGAAGGAGGAGAAGAAACAAAACAAAAACACAAAAAAGCTGGTGCAATGGTACACCCCCATACTCCCAGCACTGTGGGAGGCAGAGGCAGGTGGATCTCTGTGTGTTCGAGGGCAGCCTGGTCTACAAATCGAGTACAGGACAGACAAGGCTACACAGAGAAAACCTGTCTTGAAAAACAAACAAACAAACAAACAAACAAATTTGATATGTATTCTTGATAAAACTAGATCAAGATGAAAAGGCAGTACACAAAAATGGAAATACTAATAAGAGAAAAAGTTTACTAACCTAATAATAAAATAAATACAAACTAATATGTGGGAAGGGAGAATGAGAGCAGTGTGCAGGCTGAAAGCAGTCCTGGGGAGACATGGAATCTATACCCTTACCTTGGACCTGGCGACTGTGAGAAATAAATTTCTATATTCTATATTTTACAAGCCCTCAGTCTATGATAGTCTGTTAATGCAGCCCAAATGAACTAAGATTTTTTATTGCCTACAAGGAAGACCAAAAATCTGTGCAGTATAGAAACATAATCATAGTGAGCACGCACACAAGAAAGAAAATTACAGCTGTGCACTGCTGTTTGCTTATCAGATTGGAGACGATAAAGTGGCGACAGGGAAAGTCTGGGACGTAATTGACTTAATGTACTCCTAATTTGTTTCTATTTTGTTCCTAGGATGAACATTTTAATTTTCCACTCAACATATGTTAAACTTCTCTAGGTGTCTGATCAAAAAGAAAAAGTAATAAACATTTTTACGATAATTGCCAAGGCAAGGTCAATTGCTGGTAGTCGGGCTTGCTGGGGGAGTCCCCGCGGCAAAGCAGCCAGCACCCGGGGGTTGGACACTTGCTCCCCCGCGGTGGGCTAGGCCTGGGCTGTGGGGGCGGGGCTTGAGTGAGGACCACAATTCCCAGGCGCCCGCGCGCCACCTAGCCGGGGCCACGTGATCCTCGCGGCCAGGGCGCGGTGGCAGCTGCAAGCCTAGTGGAGTCCAGGCGCAGTCCCTGGCCGCGAGCAGCCCGACGCAACCCGGCTGGTCGCCCAGTGCGCGCACGATGGCGGTGAGTTCTGCGCTGCGCGGCGGAGGGGACGGAGGTGGGCGGCTGGGCGAGACCCTCAGAGATCCTTGCAGCCCCTGACCCCGGGCTGGAGAGGAGATGGTGTCAGCGACGCTGTCACAGCAGTAGGGCTGGGGAACGCGACAGGTAGAGCTGGCTGTGGGAGTTTCTGTTTGTACCCCCTCCCACCCGCCGCCGCTAGGAGTCAGTTACTCCAGCCGGACTGGCCACTGGCCACAGCCGGAAGGCTGAAGGTGGGTGCGGAGAGTGGGGACAGCTGTCCGCCGTCCCTTCCTGGACTCTAGCCACATTTGGGGCACTACAGAAAGGTTTCCTCCAAGGGAGGCCCGGCGGGGTCCAGCCGCAGCCGAAGCGGCTTGGCCTTTCCTGGTTCTTTAAAACGGACCCAGTTACTTCCCCCATATTCTTCCTACCCTCGGAATCTGAAAGTAGCGTTTCAACAGGCGTCTTTTCCTGGTGAGGTTCCCCTTGGCTAGAGATGACAGCTTGCAAGACTGCTCTTTGAGGAAATCCTATCAGTTTCACGGCCCTTCATCCATTTCTGAGGTGTCTGGTTAAGAAATGAAGGCACTTTTAAGTTTAGCTCTAAATGAGCAAAAAGCAAGCAAGCTCTCCCCTTGGCCACGGTCCCTCCTCTGTGAGGTGCCGCCCTTCATAAAGCACAGATAAACTGCCAGAGACACAGATTTATCCCCAGTGGGAACACTACTCAGGCCCCGCCCTTGCATATCGCACCATAGGACCTGCCAACTGAAAGCTGCCGTCCTTCCCATAAGTCTGGGCGTGCTGATTTTGAATCCTTTTCTTGAGCTAAAATGCAGAAAGCGAGGAAGGCAGGGGGACCAGAGGGTTTGAACTTGGTAGGAAGTGGACTTGTCTTCTACGGATGCTCCTAGTTGAGGACACCCTGTCTGTCCTGTCAGCTGCCTCCTGCTCCTGCTCCCCAGCTGCCCCACAGGTGGCTTTGTCCCCTCCCCAGGTCATCACTTGGCCTCCATGCTCGTGTCTGCAGTCTCTGTTTTAATTATCTGTCCACCAGCTTCTCCCACCCCCACAGCTAAGTAGTTCTAATGCAACCAGCCTTCTCTCATTCCCCTCGGTCTCCACATTCCTAGCAGAAGAAAAGGAGGTAATGGTTGAGAAAAGTTTTCTGTATGAAGATCTTCCCATGGGTGGCAACAGGTGTTGGCTAGTTTTTGTTTTTGTTTGTTTTGTTTTTTGCTCCTGAGGGAGCTGGCCTGGACCCAAGGATGACAGAATAAAATGAGTTGTGGAAACTCCCAGAATGACTAAATTAACTACTGGAGACGTTCCATTCATGCCAACAGCTTTACCAGCCAGACTGGTTGAGGAAGTGATGAGCACAGCCTCCACCTGTCAGAGGTGGAGCCAAAGGCTCTCCTGCATTCTGATGAAGGCAGCTACTGTATCCATGGAGTTTCCCCCAGTTGTTTGCTTCACCACATTATTCTTTTGTGAACATTTCCCAGTTCATCAACCATTCATTTGGAAACTATCGAGATGTCTCAGGGTGGCAGAACTCAAAAGATTTTCATATTTGGTACTATTTTAGCCATTTATATTTGCCAAGTACCACTTTCCTATAAAGAAGGTAAAGTACTCGTTATTTAATATGATTTTGAAGTGACTGCTTACAGATATCTCATAATTTGCAGGAGCAGCACCTGTTAGTAGATAGGGGACATGGGGATTCAGACCATTTCTCCAGGCATACCCCTGGACACTTGCCCCAGAAATACCCAGAGTGCTTGTCGAACATGCTGCAATTTGAAGAGTAGCTCATGCTCTCTAGAAAGTTCGATGAGCCTGAATGCATGGCCTTTAAACAAAGGCTCTGTTAACAGTGTCTGGCAACAGCAGAGATGCTGTGCCAGGGGATGTGCAGAGCGAGAGCTGAGCACAGTGCAAGCCTGTGCAGGCCCTCAGAAGACAGAGGGCTGCATGGCAGTACTAGTCAGTCAGATTGTTTTGAGCAGCTCTGAACCGACAAGCTAGGGCCTTCCGGGGGCTTAGCTTTAGTGTAGGCACAGATATGTTGGAGACACAAGTCAGATCCCTTTCAGAACTGAAGGGATGTGTAAGAGGGTCACCCCCATTTCAGATCCGGTCTACAAGGTGCAAGTCTGCATATGGGGAATAGAACATGTGTGGACGAAGCATTTCTCTCCACTCTCAATACAGGCATATTCAGTTTTTGTTTTCTCTTGTCCTTTATTGTGTTTTGATGTAGGTGTGAAGTTCACAATGGGAGCCTCTCTGTACTAGTTCACAGGGATCTGAGAAAGTGAAGCCAAACCAGGGGGAAAGCTTCCCTGGGGTTCAGTCCCTGTTTTACAGGTGGGGAGACTAAGCTCCAGTAGGAGCCTGCTGTGTGGCTTGCTCAAGGTCCTAGCAGAAGAGGAAGGCAGATACAGGATGCTTAGCTTTAGAATCTGTGTCCTGTGTGCTAGGCTGTGCTCCTCTGTTCAAACTGTAAGCATCAGAACTCTCTCCTCAAATGGGTCTGGCTCTTCCCCTGGGTTCTGATTTACAGGCCTAAGGAGGCCTAGGCACTTGCATTTTTAGTGAAGTCCTGAAGGATCGTGATGTCCTTCACTAAGCTGCGTTGGCAGTGTGGGACTTGACAGTCTCTGCACTCAGCAGCTCACCTGTAACTCCCCTGTGTATGTGAGCCAGGTCTTTGCATACCTGTGTTCTGCTCCAGCGTCCTTCCTCCTAACCTCTTCCTCCTTGGCTTTGCATCCTGTAGCTTTGAGCACTGGCTTTTTTTCCTATAGCTTTGAGCACTGGCTTTTCTTCTCTGTCCTCAGATAGCATGGTCTTGTTTGCTTCATTCCTTTATTTGAAAGGCCTAAGCACCACCACGGTGATTACATGGGGATCTTTTCACCTATATTTTTTTCTCCATTCACAGCTTCTTCTCTCTTCTCCCAACATGGCCTTGTATCTTCTATTTTCACATCATCTTTTGGAAATGTTAAAACTAATGATCGGTTGGGCGGGTGTTTGTCTAGCACACACAGAGTCATAGATCTGATCCCCATTGCCACAGAAGTTCAGAATCATTCTCATGTTAAGGCCATCCTGGGCTACACAAGACCCTGACTAAAGCAAAACAAGATAGACGGATTAAGTGATTCAGCAGTTAAGACTGTATACTGCTCTTGCAGAGGACTGGTTCCCAGAACCCATTCTTTGGTAGCTCAGAACTGTCTTAACTTTGGCTCCAGGGACAACCTGGTACCTTCTTCTGGCCTCTGTGAGCACTGCACTCACATGCAAACACACACACACACACACACACACACACACACACACACACACACAAAATAAAAATAATATTTTTGTAAGATAAGGTGGTGTATGTCTTTAATCACAGCATTTGGGAGGGAGAGGCAGGTAGATCTGGTCTACATAGCAAGTTCCAATACATGGTGAGGATAGATAGATAGATAGATACATACATACATACATACATAGACAGACAGATGATAGGTAGATGGATGATAGGTGGACAGATAGATAGATAGAAATGGATATCTTAAAAAGCAAACAAACAAAAAGCATACCATGGTTTTCTCCACAAATTAGTGTCTGTTTACTTCTTATGACAAATGAGACTCAGGTATGCAGACCTGGGTTTTATTCCTGATGTTGCCACCACCTCAGTGTAACCTTGGACTTCTAAGGCTGTGCTGAGAGCACAGACTCTGAAACCATTCTGCCTGGGCAAAAACCTGTCGGCTAACATGCCCCAGATAAGAGGTAAGATTAACTCTCTCAAAGTAGATTGCTGTCCAGCAAGAAGAGAGGGGTATGGAGAGATGGCTCAAAGGTTAAGAGCATTGCCTGTTCTTCCAAAGGTCCTGAGTTCAAGTCCCAGCAACCACATGGTGGCTCATAACAATCTATAATGAGGCCTTGTGCCCTCTTCTGGAATATAGGCATAAATGCAGGAAGAATACTGTATAAATAATAAATTAATCTTTTTTTTTAAGTAGTTTGAGTAATTTTTTAAAAAAGGAGCGGGAAGCAGGCAGGGCAAGGCTATATGGCCTAGCTTCTGGCAGGAAAGGGAGCGGTTACGCTTTATTTTGCCCAGTTCCAGCTTCCCCCAAACTTATTTTTTCCAGGTTCATCTCTCAGAGTATCTTAACAGCCTGTGGTTCTCATTCCTCTGGCTTTGACCGGTATGGGAAAGAGGGCCCATTGACTGTTGCCTCATGTGAATGGCTGCAGCTCATGTGAATGTCTTCTAGCTTCCCTGTGTGGTGCTACGGCTCCAGAAAGCCCTTGATTGACAGATCTGGTTTTCTCCCAATCTTTTTTTTTTTTTTTTTTTTTTCCTGAGGTTGTGACTCACTTTACTCCAGGTTGGCCTGTGTCTTAGTCACAGTTCTATTGCTGTGAAAAGACACCAATGACCAGGGCAAGCACTTAATTCAGAGCTTCCTTACAGTTTCAAAGAGTCCATCATCATCATCATCATCATGACAGGGAGCATAACATCAGAACAGTAGTTGAGAACTACGTGCTGATCTGCTGGGAGAAAGAAAGAGAAAGAGACAGAGACTGAGAGACAGAGAGATTGACTGGGAGAGAGACTGACTGACCGACTGACCTGGGCCTGGTATAGGCTTTTGAAACCTCAAAGTGCACCCCTACTGACACACTTCTTCCAACAAGGCCACACTTCCTAATCCTCAAGTTTTGCCACTTCCTAATGACTAAACATTCCATATATGAGCATAAATATGTGGACCATTCTTACTTAAACTACCACATTCTGGAGCTCATTATGGAACCAAGTGGCCTTGAATTCACAACAGTGCACCTTCCTCAGCCTTGCAAGAGCTGGGGTTATGCCTACTTTCATCCTACCGTTCTTTATTATCTCCTCTGATCCCAAATTTTGAGAAGGGGAGAGAAGAAACAAGTAGATATATGTGATCTGTGACTCAAGACTATCACATACAAACAAGTGTGTGTCTCTGGCTTCCTGTCTCTGGCTTCCAGGTGGCCAGAGAACATACAATGGCACAGCTTCCAGACCAAGTTGATGCTAACCTAATTTGACTGTTCTCCACTTGCCCATGGAAGTGTGCCTAAATCCAAAATCCAACAGCCTTTCTGAAAATGCATTCTCTCTCTCTCTGGGTCTTTTCCCCTAGAATACTCACTGAGAGCTACGAGGCCTCTTAAGAAGCCCGCCCATGGAAAATCCCTTTCCCTTCCCTCTTAGGGATCCCATCTGGAGATGAGATGTTTTAAAGGAGGTGGGAGCTGGACTAAATCAGTATGTCCCCTCCCTTTTTTGATTGATTGATTTTTCTTTTAATGTGCATTGGTGTTTTTCCTATATGTGTGTCTGTGCGAGGGTGTCTGGTCCCCTGGATTTGGAGTTACAGATGGCTGTGAGAAGCTACATGGGTGCTGGGAATTGAACCTGAGTCCTCTGGAATATCAGCCAGTGAGTGCTCTTAACCACTGACACATCTCTCCAGCCACCACCACCCCCTTTTGTTGAACCTAGGGCCTCACATATTTGAGGCAAGTGTTCCACCTTCCTCCTCACCTTCTCAATGCTGGCCACAGACTGAGGTTAGCAAAGAGTCTAGTGAATGAGTGGACATCTGCCCTTAGCCCTGCATGACAAACTCTGATGCATCTGTCCAGGTTCATGAGGACAAAGGGGACTTCCTGTTGGCTCCAGAGAGCCTGGAACTGAGCGAAAGGGCCTAAGCCAGTAGATAAGGCTTGGCCTAGTACTTCCTGCTGAGTTTGGAGGACCCAGAGGGGATATCTCCTTGTGACCCAAGGATACTGTGTCATCCTGTGTCTGCTTGGCCTTTTGAGGGTAGGCACACACCAGTTTTCCTTCCACATGGAGCAGGGCTCAGTTACAGTGTTATTGACCCACATGGGCAAGCCCCTCCTTGTCCATATGGCCTCTAATGTGAGTCCTGCAGCCCAGGAGGTCTCCCAAGGTAGCTGCTGGAGAGCCCTGGGAAGGGACTCTGTCCAAGCCTCCTATGATGGACATCCTTGTCTCTTTCAGATGCATTTCATCTTTTCAGATGAGGCCGTGCTTCTCTTTGATTTCTGGAGAGTCCACAGTCCAACAGGTAAGAATGGGGAAGGTCAGACTTGAAGTTGGGCAAGTCTGTATTTGGACAGCAGAGAACCTGGATTCTCTTTCTTTTCTGTGGGAAGTTAAGGCACATTGAACTAGAACTTTGCGTTTATCATTCCAAGGTGGGCTAGAAATAGGTCAGATGCCAGTCACGGCAGGTGTGTCCTTCCTTTCAATGGCTGGTCACTGTCCAGCTACCCCCGCAGGCTAAGCAGTGGAGCAAACACTTCTGTCACTATCTCCCAAGATTCCGTGGGGTGGCTATGCTAACTAAGTAGCCTGCACTCTGTGCCACTCACACGGTGGAGCCAGGCAGTAGCTGCTTGCGTGTTTAGTGGCTGGTACGGTTGTGAACTGCAGCCTCAGCCGGGTCTCTTGCCTGAGTCTCACAGTAGCACCTGCTGGAGGCTAGACTTCTTCATGGCAGAATGGCTAGCTTCTAAGAACAGGTATCTTATGAGAACATGGGTGAAATGCATGAGATTTTAAAAACAAACACTAGGAACTGGAAAATGGCTCAGTTGGTAAAGTGCTTGCTGAGAAAGCATGAAGATCTAAATTTGATTTCCAGTGCCCATCATGGCAGCATGCACCCATAATTGGAGCACTCAAGAGTAGAGATAGGAGGATTCCTGGGCTGGCTAGCCAGCCAGCTTATCTATAAGCTGAGGGACTCAGTATCAAAAAGTAAGGTAGAGAACAATAGAAGGCTTCTAATGTTGACCTTTGGCCTCTACACACATGTGCAGTCCCCCAACACACACACACACACACACACACACACACACACACGAGCCTGTACACATATACACATTCACATACACACAAAAAGGTAAAACCTACACTTGCAAGTTGCATAGCATTAGGACTGACCCTTCAACTTACGCTTCCAGGCCAAAAGGAAAGGCCATGGCTCCCATCCCATGATGGAAGAAGGGTTTGGACTAGGATATATGAGTGTGAGGGGGTAGAGTAACCTGGAAAAATAAGGCAGATGTGTGTGAACAGAAGGAATCCCATGTCCTGAGGAAGATGGATGCTGCTGCTGGATGTGGGTGAGGATGTAGACAGGATGCTTCCATTTTGATAGTGATGGCTGGTACAGAACAACAGAGGCTGCTGTGGAGAGGAGGCTGGGTTCCGGGAGTCTGGGTGTGCTCTTCTCCATGAGTAAACCTTTACCATGGGTATATAATTACCTGAGATTGCCTATCTTAAAAAAAAAAAAAAAAAAAAAAAACTATGGCTTTCGCCTTTGTGCAAGAAAAAAAAAAAAACAGCCTATGGTTTTTCCTTTTCTTACACTCAGCACGTCTATGATCAGATGTGTAGTTCTTCCCTGGCAGCCATTTTCCTGACAGCAGCTGAGTATCCTACAGTTCAGTTTAATTCTGACACTTAACTAGAGTCAGTCACACCCCACGGATCACAAGCACAGTTCCTCTCAGATTGTCTGTCATGCCGATGCCTGTGCTTCTGACCAATGAGCTGTAAAATCAAGGCTATGAACTCCCCCACAACTGGCATCAATCATTTGCTAGAACAACTCACAGAACTCAGGGAAATGCTTTATATAGGCATAATTAAGCCACTAGCTACTGGTGATCCTCTTAGCCTGCAGCCCAGAGCTCAGGAATAAGGCTGAGTCTTCCAACCTTCTTATCACATGTTAGTTCCCCTCCATCCTGAGGCCAGCTACTCAGGAGCTCCAGCCACAAGTTTTTGGCATATATAAGCCCCCAGTAGCAAGCATTTTTGGATATAAGATCTCTTAGTATATAGCCCAGGCTGGCCCTGAACTCACAACCCTTTTGCCTCAGCTTCCTCGGGGCTGAGGTTACAGTCACATGCTGCCATTCAGTTCTGAATATATTCTCATGTCACAAAGCCTCATAATATTCTTTGGATGGACCATTTATTTTCTGTCTCCTGTAAAACACAGGTAGCATCGGAGTTAATTTTTCCCAGAGGTGCTAGAAGCACTTATTTTCTTTCAAAGAACTTACTGGATTTTTCTCTACAAAAGTAATACATGGAAGTACTACAAGGAATACTCATAGACAATATTTTTTGAAAATTAGGCAAGAAGAAAAAAACATACCCCCTGTATTCCAACTTGCTGTTGCTGTCCTGCCTGAGTTTTTTGTAAACTTACATGCACACTCCTGGGGGGGGGGGGGGGGGTTTCGGTAAACCTACATGTAAAAAATATATGCCTCGCTGTATGCACCCCTCCCTTTGCAAGAAATCTTGATAGAGATGTGTGCAGTACCCTGGAGGGGCTACTGGGGAATGGTGCCACATGGCTTCTTCACCCTGAGCCACTGGCTTTGCTAAAATGAGAAGCCACACTCCAGTATGTCATAGCTACCAAGAAATATCTGGAGAGGAAGACAGATGGGGAAGGGCTGAGCTTAGTAAGGGTCAGGAAGCAGAGACAGGTGGCTGGAGTGGATTCAGAGGGGTGAGGAGCAGGCTGTTCTGCCTCCTGGGACAGACCTGTGGGGCGTACCTGTAGGAGAAGCAGAGTTTGCCAGGCACTGGGGATTGAACTTGGGCCTCCCTTGTGCTAGGCAAGCACTCTGTCTCCAAGCCTCTTTACTTTCTGAGATATGGTCTCTCTGAGTTGTTTAGGCTGGGCTAGAATCCACTCTAGTTCAGGCCAACCTTGAACTTGCCACCTATCTGCCTCAGGCGTCAGAGTATCTGAAATTACATACAGGCCTGTGTCCAACATCTGGCTTGCTTCTTTATTTATAAGCACATGTACTTATATGTGAAAGTGGGTGTGCATATGTGTTCATGTGCACGTCAGAGGACAACCTTGACTCTCATTCATCAGATGACATTCTTGTTTTTATACAGGTTTCTCACTGGCTCAGAACCCACTTCTGTAAGCTAGACTGGGCTGGCGGCAAGCCCAGGGTCTGGATGTATTTGCTTCCCTAGTGCTTGGTGGTACCTTCGCTTCTCCTTCCTCTCTTCTTCCACCTTTCTTGTTTCTTCTTTCTTTCTTCCTTCCTTTCTTTCTTCTTTGTTGTTTTTAACAAAATCTCAAATGTTCAGAGAGTCAGAGAAAGCACCCAGCTGACCTTCTTCCTCAGCCAAAGTCCCAAAAGGCCTGCTACTTCCTGACCCCACCTCAAAAAATCTTCAAACTTTCTTCCTCTCTACTTCTTGTGTCTCTCTGTCCATCCCTCCTGACTTCCTCTCTCTGGTCTTTTTTTTCCATGTTTACTCCCTGTCAGCTGGTTGCTTGCTCTGCCTCTTGACCCATGGTTGACTTCATTTAATCTTGTTTACAATAGTCAAACAGAAGGCTCTTGGATTAAAGGGGTATGCTAGGGCTAAGCCATACCACTACTAGAAACAGGTTTTTCCAGTAAACAACAATCTCGGGTTTCACTGTAACACTTCTCCTTTCTTCTTTCTTTACCTGTCTTCTTCTTTCTTTCTCTTTCCTTTCTTCTCAGAAATCCTCCTGCCTCTGCTTCTCAAGTGCTAGTCTTAAATGCTCATGCCACCATACCTGGCCAGCTTATTTATTTTGAATTAGCAAAAATTGTTCATCTTAAGTGGTAGTTTGTGATGTTTCAGTACATGTTGTATTGCATGAAAATCAGGGCTAGCCTATCTGCCTCTTCAAACATATCATTTATTCATGGTGAGAACATGTAAAAACCCTCTCCTACCTTATTTTTGAAACATGTGACACTGTATCATTATATGAAGTCACCATATCTAGTATGTGCACCAAAACTGAGTTTTCAACTTGGCCTCTGCACAGGCATGGCCTTCTCGGTGCTGGTCGTCTTGCTCCTGGCTGTATTGTATGAAAGCATCAAGGTTGGCAAAGCCAAGTTGCTCCACAAGACCCTGGAGAGCCTGCCTACTATCAACAGCCAGCAGCTCATCCTGGAACCAGACCAGGATTCTACTGGCTCTGAATCAACTCCAGCCAATAGAACCCGTCTCAGGTACAAACCCTGGGCAAAAGGAAGGATGGCCAGGACATTCACTCTCACCCTGAGAGGTGGTTAGGTTCACCCAGAGAACTTTAGCCCTGTGCACAGAAAGATAATTTGGGCCCCAAGAAATATTTAGTAAGATGAACTAAAGCCTGGGTCTATGGTGTCTGGGCCAAAGCTATCTGATCCTAAGGATTTCTACAGGGAACTTCAAACCTGTGCTGCAGGCCTCTGTCAAACAGTAGGCACCGGGCCTTCCCATAGTTCTCACTAGGCTCCCAAAACTAGAAAATCTGCAGGTGTAATAGAGCAAGAACTGCCATCAGCCTAGTCTACTGGTCCTACTCTTACCAGGCAACCATTTACAGGCCCCAGTCTGCCCTCTCGGCAGCCTCACCTATGCTTAATAAGCCTGCTTGCTACATCACCAGCAATCTCAGTTGGGTGCCTCACACCCTCATAACCACCCTATGAGGGAGCTCTTCCAGGGTTTTACCGGGAAGAAAATCAGCACTCAAAAAGATCCAGAGATTTGTGGTAGGCCAGATTTAATAGGCAACAAAGTCTCCATTCTTTTCATTGCTACCTCACCTCCTACTTTCAATGCAATGGAGAGACTGCCTTCCCAATCACTTTCTCTTATCCCTTATCACACAAAATTGACTACATAAACCATAATGGTTTCCCCATTTGCCTAGAATGGCAGAAGCTTAGAGCTTAATGTGGTGGAGATGCCTCTTTGGAGAAATCTCTCTGCTGGGTAAAGTATGTTATGCTGTGACACTGGCTTTCTCTCCCTAGTAAAACACATCTGCTTATTCTTAGTTAACTAACTTGTTCCTCTTTTATGTCTAGGTGGTTTTTGTGTTACTTTGGCCAGTCCCTAATCCATGTCATTCAGGTGGTCATTGGCTACTTTGTGATGCTGGCTGTAATGTCCTACAATACCTGGATTTTCCTCGGTGTGGTTCTGGGCTCAGCTGTGGGCTACTACCTAGCCTACCCACTCCTCAACCTGACTTAGTGGGCCAGAGATGCACAGTGCTGAGGGCTGGAGAGCTGGGGCCTGTTCCAGAGATTGAACTTCCAGCTGCTTTTTCCTGTGTTGGCCATTGTTCACATCTTTCCCAGTTCTTGACAGCTTTGAGATGAAGCTGCCAAATGGTCTCTGGAGCATAGAGGCCATTGAAGCTACCTCCGTCCCCAGCCTATATTGGACCCAGGTCTCCTGTGGTGCCTAAAGTGAGTAGCTATGACCAAAGGGAACATGGAGAGACCAGAACCTTGGAGGCAAGATGGCCAGGCCTGTGACCTCAGATCTCTGAGTGCAAATTTCCAAAGAGCTTCAGTGATGAAGGCCATGGAACCTGGATACCCTCTTCTGCTTTGTGCCTTGATGTCAGGGACACCTCCAGTCTTTGGGGGACAGACCACGCTAGCTCCTTGTTCTCACCTTTTTGCCTTGGAATACATGAAGATTGTCATTGATAAAACAAGGATTTCATTTTTGAACTCCTGGCTGGCAATTTTGTACATTAATGCAAAACAAATTTTCTAATGAACTCTTTGTATTCGTGATGGATGGCAGAGACCTCTCTTTTCTTTTTGAGACAAAGATCCAGGACTGTTTCTGAGTCTGTGGATTTGTCAGGGCCACTGCAGGTTGGTGGTCAGGGCCTTGCCTTATCCTCTTGTATGTACCACAGAGACCAGCATTTAGTAACAGAGCCGACTGCCCTTATTTTTACTTCCTGCTAACTCCTAATGATCTGGTGGGGAGCATGAGTCAGTCACTGAAGTCCTGATTCAGCAGGGGTGTGCTGGGGGCTGGGTACTGACTGAGGGCGCAATAAGCAATAACCAAAGCCAGGTCATTTTAAGAGATAAGTGGACTCCAAATATTTGGCCTTTCCACTTTATAAAGTTAAAAGACAGGAATGAGGACACACACCTGTAATCCCCAGCACTGAGGATGCTGAGGCAGGTGATTGTGAGTTTGAGGGCAGCCTGGGCTACATAGAGAGTTCCGGGGTAGCCTGATATCCACAGTGACACTGACACACACACACACACACACACACACACACACATACCGACAATCAATGCTACATACTATATAGTGTCTATGTTCAAGTACCTCATGGGCTCAGTGAAAAGATGGCTTTACGAAGCTTTGGCAGTTAAAAACAAATACACTTTAATAAATTTCTATTTTTGAACAGTCTGTTTGTTGGTCTCTTCTCTTTCCAACAGTACATAACCCTAAATGTTCCCAATGTAGGAGTTGGAGAACGTTCTGTGAGAACAAGGACTAAGACCTCATGTATTAGAGACAACTCTGTGCAGAGAAACTGTGACTGGAAATGTCCTGTAGGTCGACCCCAGAGTGCCAGCTTAGCCATGTTAGGTCCATGCATCAAGTTACTGATTATAACACATGCCTGCTGGAAGAAAAGTAACTGCCACACAGACCATAAACAACTGTGTTGGCGTGGCAGTTAGCAACCTCCCTTCCAGCGGGCAGACACAAGGCCATGGTCATCTTCCCATCTGCAGGATGGAGCAAGAGCACAGGAAGTCAGAACAGGGTACCTGTGGGATTGCGTGCTGCATTCCCTCCATTGACACTGAACCTGCAGAGCTGCCCAGTCTCAGTGGTGCTGTGACAGCCTGTGCTGACCAGCACTGCTGGGATGAACATTTTCATGAGTGACAGGCTCCTCAGCTTGACACTATTTTATTACAGTCGTGATATTTGAGGCTTTTGGGGGTAGAGATCTTTATAAAATTTTTTGCCTATAGAATGAATATATGATTAGACTTTGAAAACATCATTTGAACATTTTCAGAGCCAAGTCTCAAAAGGTGGTTCCTTAAAAACAAATAGTTGCATAAGGGCTGACTAAGTGCCGGGCAGTTCTAGCACTTTATGCAGTTACTGACTCATCTAATCCTCACTCCCACACAGGAACTCTCTGCCTTCATCTCAGACCGAGGAAGCTGAGGTATGAGGCAGTCACCTGTGGGTGAGCAGCAGAGCTGGGGCTCGGATGAGGGACAGAGGCCACACAGCACCTGCGGTATACACAAGTGGACTCAGACTGAAGATGAGGCTGTGTTGTTCCCACAGCACCTATAAACTCCCGCAGATCTGGAATGGGGCCAGGAGCCTGAAGTCTTCTTTTTTCTTCAGTGCTAGAGTCAAATCTAGGGCAATGGCTCTACACTGAGATGCACAGCCCGGGGCCAGTGGTGCCGCCAAGCGTTAGCTTCTTCCTTCAACCCAGGGACGGTCAAGAATGGTGGACAAGAGTAGGAGGACAGAATTCTTGTCCTGCTTGCTAGCAATATAACTGTGGACAGCTTATTCCTCTAAGCCTGTTTTCTTTTCTTTAAAAATGGGGTTAACAGCACTTGTTGCTCTTGTAGAGGACCTGGTTCTGGTCCTGGGGTCTGGTTCCCAGCACCCATATGGTAACTCATAACTATCCGTAATGCCCAGTTCCAGAGGCTCTACTGCCTTCTTCTGGCTTCTTTGTACACATAGTACACAGACACACATGCAGGCCAAACAACCAAACATATCAAATAAAAAGTAATATTTTTAAAAATGGGAATGTCTTCTGTAGTAACTGGCACTGTATACAGACTGTCTCATTGCCACCAGCCACTGAAGAAGACACTGTTATTCATGTTTTATAGATGAGAAAACTTAGGCTTAGAGGGCAAAGTAACTTGTTTAAATAACCATTTAATACAGTCTTTCTCGATGCTTCCTAGGCCCAAATGTGGGAGACAGGCACCAAGCCTGCAAGGATAAGGGCCAAACACGGTGGAATTCAGGATACAGTCTTATATTTAAAATCATGGAAGATTTTGTTTGAACTATTTTTGAAGACTGGTTACATGGTCTTTGGAAGATCCTAGAATAAGTAAAAGGCCACAAGTATTTTCCCACTGCTCTCTGCAGTCGTGTTGGCCCTCAGGGCTCACAGGAAATGGAAGAATCCCTCAGATATCGTGAACAGTGGGTATTAGCACCCCTTCCTTCCCTGCACGACTCCTTTGCCTGTCGTGTATCCCACAGAAACCAGTGCAGGATGGGACTGTTTCTCAGATAACTACCCTGCCCCACCCAGCCTTATGCAGCGGTGACCCTGAGCATCAAGTTCAAGAACACATGCCAACACAAACGTACCACAGTGATTTTGTGCACATTAACTGACCCAGCTACACCTCCCACCCTTAAGACCCTAAGGAGGAGAATGACAAGCCTAGAAACCAAACTCCATTTCTCCCCAAGGGCCCGAATCAAGTTTTATTTTAGACATTTATTTTAGTCTTGTTCCGAATACCCACTGACCTCTTCTATAAGATTTAAGGCAGAGACAGAAGATACATGCCCCAGAGCCACAGGCTAGGCCAGCATGATCACTCTTCCAGTTCTCTGAGGAGACCCCTCCCAGCCTACAGGGCTGTTGCAGTGCTCTGATGAGCCCTGGGAGAGAGAAGGAGGGGCTTACAGGTCAACTTGAGAATGAGTGAAATGAAAAGCTAGGGAGAGATGGCAGGATGCTTGTGACTGGCTGCCGGCGACCCTGCCATCCCTTCCTTCATGGTAGGGCCACTCATTGAGGGCTCTTACAATACCAGTTCTGCAAACAGGTTCATGATCCTCTTCACCGGGTCAGGCAAGGAGCTTAGATGGCAGCTAACTCAGACACCTGAACCACTGTCCTCAGAATGGTCCCCAGGACCTCACCCTGAGGCTCACCTAGACCTGAGGCCAGCCGTGCAAAATCCTGCTTAGGGAAGGACTGGGAGAGAGACCTGCATGCCTGTTTCCTAGGTCTTCACCCCAGCCAGTCAATGTCATCGTCATCATCATCATCTCCAAAAAGGGGTGTTGGGGGCGGGCGTCCCTTCATGCTCTGACAAAACAGGAAAGAGAGGTCAGTCCTCACTTATCCCTGCCCAGGTGTCTTCCTGCCTACAAGGGGAAGTATGGTCCAGTGTCTGTCCTGCCTTTGGCTGGAAAGGAGAGGAACTGGAAAGACAGGCTTTGTGGCTAGAGAACTGAAGCATTTCAGATAATGCTGGGACAAGCAGGCACAGAGGGAAGCCATCTTTCAACAGAGACAAAAGACCAACTTTACTTGGCTAATTTTGTAGTTTATTTGTGAAACACATGTATTGATTGGACAAATATGCCAACTTACACATTTTGTGTGAAAAAAGAAGGGTCACTGAGGAGAGACCAGATAAGAGAAAGAAACAGAAGCAAAGCCAGCCTGGGAGAATAAGGAAAAACTACAGAGGTTTGAAAAAGTACAGTCACATGGGAAAGGCAGCTATAGCCTGAAGAGACCAGACAAATTCAGAATGATATGAATATAGATAGAGGCAAAGTCTTAAGGATTACCTTAAGAGGTAAAGAAAGCCCACAAAGGCAGGGCCCATGCTCTCTTTAATGGGGGAGTGGAATAAAGGGGCTGAAGCATGCTAGGATCCCTAAGAGTCCCAGCCAAAGGCTACTATGGAAAGGTTCAAGTCCCTAGCTTGGTACCATTGGGAGGCGGTGGAAACCTTTTTTTGATGGGGCCCAGTAAAAGGTCTCAGATTGCAGGTTGCCCATAAAAGGAACAGAAGCTCTGGCCCCTCCTTTCTTGGTCTTTTCACTTCCTGACCATTAAGAGACTGGTTTTTCCCACACACATCTTACCACAGACCTAAAACCAATGGAATGAACTCATCTTGGACTAAAAACCTCTGAAACTGTGAGCCAAAAATGCACATTCTCTCTTTAAATGCTTCCTGTATCAGGCATTTGTGCCAGGGATGATGCTGACTAACACAAAGAGCCATGGAGGAGATTTTCCTGCTCTTTTCATGTTTATAAGCTTCTGGCTTCTCTTCTGGCTTGCTAGGGTGACAACAGGGGTTGATGCTACAGACAAATGTAACACTGTATTAGTCTCTGGGACATTTTCCACTCTGTGAGCTTCTGCTAACCAGGGATTCAGCCCAAGGGAAGACTGTACTGTACAGAGTTCTCTGAGTTCAACCTAAAGCCCATCTATTAGCAGACCTGTATTTCTCTCTAGGCATCAACTAAGTAATTCTGAAAAGCTGCCTGGGCAGGACTTTGAAATGTGGACCACAGCTTCTGTCTTGTTCTGACTAAGGCTCTGCTTGGAGTTCACACATCATATAACCTGAATTATATTATTTAATCTCTCTGAACCGTATTCCTCTGTTCTATAGGACATATCAGTAGAAGGTTAAACGAGAATGTGAAATATTTTCCTGAATACCCAAGAAATAGATTATTAGCTTGATTAAACTGACAGTAATAGCATCATCATATTGCTCATCATTTGGGATACTCATCCTTTCTCTTTTGTATTTGTGCAGAATTTGTAGTTAGTATTCTCAAATGCAAACTCAATTCTTTAGCAGACAAGTCAGTGGGAGGAATAGGTATAGCTTCTCTGAAGGTAGGCAGGCAAGAGAGAAAGGCTCAGGTCCACCTAAGCTAGGTTCCAGATGTCACTGCCTTCTGGCAGAAAGCAAAACTCAATCCAGATGAGTGGTATAAAAGGGCACTAGGCTTTGCCCATATCAACCTCATGGTTCTGTCCCCTTCTGTCTCCTCTACATTCATTTCCTGACAGCGAAATTCCCATTACAGAGCCCAAATGATCAAGTTCAGCTGCAGAAGCCAGGGCTCCAATCCTGTCTCTGTCAGCAACTTCCCTTGTTGTCCCTGACTTTCCTGTTCCCAACTTGAAGCTACACTGTCAACACTGGACCCATGGGCTGCCCAGAGTATTAACATGACAAAACAAGCAGCAGACTAGAAGTGGGCTGGGTGAGCAAAGGTCCTTAGAAACAAGCAGCTCCAAGAAGAGCTTGGGCTCAGTCCTAATCTACCATTAGCTTTCTATGAATGATCCTTCTGACCTGTTTTCTTTGTCTAGGGATGAGGAGACCCAAGAAGCTGATCTTCAGAACCTTTCCCACCTTCCCTCACTCTAAATGGGAATGATTCCACAGGTGACGAAGCTATGGTGTCCTCTTTTAAGAGTACAGTGGCAGCTGGCCATCTGCTCTCTGCTTACAGAGCTGTCCACTCTGGGCCCCAAGTTTACTCCCACAGGGTCCTGTACACAGAGTCCAGGAAGCAGGCCACCAACAGCCTCCTTTTCTCTTTTCTGGCCCTGCAGGGAAGAGCCCCCAGGTGGTGGTGTGAGGACTCTGCAGAGCCTGAGATTTCCTTACCACCTCGTCTTCATCCTCTTCCTCGGGCTGGGCTTTGGGCATCGGAACTTTTAGAGTTGCCCCTTTAAACAGCTCGTCCTCTTCATCCCCAGACAGACTGAAAGGGAATCAAGGCACACATATGTTGTTGTTTCTGCCCAAGCACAGTGCCCACGAATTTTGAGGGTCATGGGTCCTGAAGTGAGACCCATTCACCCAAATAAAATATCTCTTTCTACACTCAGCATAGATCACACCCCATATAATGCCTTCCATAGTCCTACCCAGAATTAGACCCTCTAAATCTACACTGAGTTATCCCCTGCATAGTCTACACCCTGTATTACTCCCTCCAGTTTACTCTCTATGTCATCCCCTCCATGGTCTACACTGTGTTAGTCCCTCCAGTCTATACCCTGTGTCAGCTTCTCCACAATCTACAGTCAGCACGATTCCTAAAGCTAACAAATCAAGACTCATTACTCTTCGCTTAGCTCTTCCTTGCTTCTATTTTATTTGCACAAAATTCAAGCTCTAACAGTGACATAAAGTATTACAGGTTTTGGCCCCTTCTTTATTTTCCAACTTCAGCTTTACCCCACTTGTCCCCTACTAGCTCCTTTTAGTTCCTTATGATGTGTCCACCCCACCAGAGCACCTTTGTGTGTGCTCCTCTCTCTGCACTCTCTCCCTGTTGTCAGTCTGGATGAGCCGTAGTACTCCTTGGATTACAGTTTAAATGCTGCCTTTTCAGATGAATTCCCTAATCACCCGTTTTAACAAAATTCTCCCTCCTTATTCTCAACACTAGCAGTTTCTTTGTTAGCACTTAACCCTGTTATAATACATTAGCATGTTAGTCTTCCCCAGTAGACTGTAAGCTCCTCACACTCATAACCCTCATGTGCTTTGCCCACCACACCACCATGAAGCCTGCCACAGAGCCCTGTGTGTAGAGCTATTGATGAGAAAATGAATGAGTACAACATTCATGTCAACTTGAGAATGCAGACCACTTTCACAGACAGCCATCTTGTACCTGCGCAGACACATACCTGCAGTGCTGGGAGTCCTGGGTGTGTCCAAGGGATGCTCCTGCAGCCACAGAAGCAAGCTCTGTGTCTAACAGTGTCTCACGGGGACCAGAACTACTGACACTCTCAACTTCTTTGAGCTCAGGAGGCTGAAGTTCTCCTTGGCTTTCAGGGTCTAAGGCTGATGTCTCCCCCTTTGCAGGGTCTGGAGTCAGTGGCAATCTCCTGGAGCTTCCTTGTAGTGTGTCATCTGAGGCTACTTCCCTGACATGTTCTTCTCCCAATAGGTTGTTGGGCTGCACTGTTCTCTGGCCAGCATCAAGTGTCTCCTCACACTCAGAGTTCATAGTTACAGGTCCTGGAGGTGTAGGTGGGATTGAAGTCGGGGGCCCGAGGACTCTGTGGGGTGGGATGTCAGCTGGCAGAGGAGGGAGAGAACTGTCTTTGATTTCTGAGGGTACCTCTGTGTCTGAGGGCTCCCCTTTCCTTGTCTGTACACCATTCTGTGGCATGGGGAGAGCCTGTGGAGGCAGTGGGGTAGTCTCCCCTACTACCTGTTCTGGCAGAACCTTGGGGGCCTCCTGCATTTCCCCACTTGAGGGTGCTGGAGACAGCCCAGGAGTGGCAGGGCCTGGCTGCTCCAAGGAAGGTCTCAAAGGCTTCTCCTCCTCCTCACTGCTGCACTCTCTCTGCTCTTCCTCCTGCTGGTTCAACAGCTGCAGGGTCACCATCTGTTCAAAAGCCAAGGAAGAGATGAGCACAGAAAGGAAAACAGATGCACTGATAGGTCCTCTGTCCTCAGAAGCACAGCTGCCACCTAATTCTAATGACTGTGCTCCTCGCTTCGGGAAGAGGCTGGCCACATCCATCCAGGCACATGTCATTTCCGGGGTCCCCATCACTAATAAATGGTCTTGAGTAACTTTTTAAGTATGAGTGCTTAGAAGGTAATTGAACTAAATGCCCATTCCAATGAATGAACTGACAGCTTTCTGGCTGTACCTTGATTGTATGCATGATGGTCCTCAGGACGGTCTTGCCGTCATAAGATTCCTCCAGCTCAAACTCTCCCCTCAGTGACTGGAACACCTGGTTCATGATCTTCTTGACCTGTGCCACAATCAAAAATGAATGCTACCAAAACCAAGTCATTAAGCAGCACACTGAAATTACAGAGTTAGAATGCTACAGAGGGACGTAGATGGTCATGAATAGCTGAAGAGTATAGTGGCTGAGAACTGCCATCATGCAGAGAAGAGGGGTTTTTTTTGTTTTTTTTTTGTTTTTGTTTTTGTTTTTTTTTGTTTTTATCAGAGAAGAGTTTTAAATGACAAACCTGTTCAACAGAAAAGCTAACTAGCAGAATTTCCTGTCAAGTGGTGGTTAAGTGTATATGACTGCCCAAAGATCATTTACTGATATTAAGTAACTCCAACTATGAGTACCACAGAAAGCTGTGTGGCCTTGACCACAGGGATTAGTGGATGCTGGATGCTGGTGCTGGGTGTGGCACCATCCTCCAACTCCTCTCTATAACTTAGGGTACTTTCCATACCATCAAAGCTTCAGAGAAATGCTTGCTACCAGAGTGGTCAATTCTGAAGAGTCAGCCTTTATGCCAGACAAATGATGCATCAATAAAGCCGGAAAAATGCTGTCAGCATCACATATGGATCATATGTTTTCTGAATACTTGATAATCACATTCATTGCCTTGATATGATAGGTTTTGTTGCTTCTTTAATTACCAGCTCACCTTCTCTGAGGGGTCAGCGGCAGCTCTGAGTGCAGGTGCCTGGGACTTATTCTTCTCCAGTTGCTGGATGTGCTCATTCTGTGCAGTTAAGGCTGCAACCTGGTCCTGAAGAGTTACACACTGTAGAATGAACAGACTGGAGTTGTGGCATTGGAAACCTGCAGGACTGTGATGGTCAGGAGACACAAGAGAACTATTCTGAGCATAAGTCCTGACTTCACCTAGGTCTGCTAGGCCTAGCCTTGGTCCTCACCCTAGACCAGCTGGTATAGGTTACTCTACTTCCTCAATAGTCAACTCACGCTTCATTCTCCCTTCAAGGATACTTGACATGTCCCTAATGAGGTGAAGACGTAATGAAAAGAAGCTGACGTGAACAGCGGTAGTCACATACAGACAAATACTCAGCGACCTATTCACCTCTAAGCCCTCCAAGTCAAAGGCTTCTAAGTGGGCAATGCAAGGAACTGCACTTCAGACAAGAAACTTTCATAGCACACCAAGTCACCTCTTAGCTCTCTTTTCCATGTCTATGTACCCCACCATATCTAACACTCTACCCATATACCTTATACCACAGCAACCTGCCCTTGTCTCTGCGCAAAGGTCCTTTCTTTGGGACTCCTTCCCAGCTCCTTTAGGTACTTCCTCTCAGAGCACCTAATCACTTATCTCGTTTCTCTTTTGTGATTGTGTGATTCTTGAGGGCAAAGACCTCTGCATGCTCTTTGTCTGCACAGTGGCTGGTACCACAGTGATGCTCAGTAAATGAAGGCTCAAATAGCAGGAAACAAGTCCTGGAACACGGGTTGTTTTGTCTTTTTCCAGTCCCTGACCTGTCCCCCTAAGTAAGGATGTGAAAGATAACTGACTGCAAGTTATACTAGCCTGGCTGTGTTTTCTATCTATTAATACTTTTGAGCCTAGGCTCAAAAAGCTGGGCAAGCCCCCCCCACAGCCTAGAGATCTGGTGTTAGTTAATAAGCTGACTCAGGGAAAGAACCACCTCATCCTGAAGGCGAGACAGCTTCTCCTGGTAGGCATCCCTCTGTGTGCACACCTCCTGGTACTGCTGCAGGTGCTCATCCTTTGCAGAGGCCAAAAGATGCTCACACTTTGCTTCCCACTGGCTCTGCAGCTCAGCCTGTGCGAGAGACAACTGCCAAGATAAACAATATCCTTGAGTAATGGAGAGCTGGGGGATGGGATTCCCATTACAATAAAGGAGGCCCATTTGCCATAGAATTTAAAGACTCTTGGCCCATTTGGGTAGAAACAACTGTTGAAATTATCATAATTACTTTAAAGGTATTCTTTTATTTATTCTTGGTCTCTATGTGTGTGGCATCAGGGTCTATCACTCTGTGTCCCTTCCTTGAGACAGGGTCTCTCACTGAAGCTTGGCTGGCAGCCAGCAAGCCTCAGGGATCCTCCTGTCTCTCCTGTGCACATGTAGTCAGACCCAACATTTTACTTGGGTGCCGGAGATTCAAACCCAGGTCCTCGTGCTTGCACAGTGACAGGTCCAAAGTGCCCCCCCCCCCCCAATGGCAGTGCAATGTGCAATGGCAATGGTGAGAAAGTTCTAAACAGGACTCTGGCTAGGTAAACAGAAACCTTCCTTTAGGCCTTCATTTTAGGTTCTGTTTACCAGAAACCTCCCTTAATCTACCACCAAAGGTCAACTACCTCAAAGGCCATCTAGTCCCCCATCCATCTAAACGGCCTATATTACCTCAAAGACCTCCACCCTGCTGACTCTCCTATAAAATTTGCTTTTTTCCCCACCATTTTGCTTCTCCCCTCTCCACTGCATCTCTGCCCGGGAGATAGGCATGGTAGTTTGCATCCCAATAAACATTTCTTTCTACCTATGGAGTAGTCCAGTTTGGTGTTTTCACTGTATGCTCACTTACACACAGCAAGTACTCTCACCTACTCAGTCATACCCCTAGTCCCAAAGTAAGCATAACTTAAACATTGAGAGAGGGATGTTGCTGGTTGTTAGGATTTCCATTATTCTCCCAGGTGTGTATAAGCCATAAGAAACATCTTTCTCTGGTAAGTGGGAGCTATGTTTTCTCTCTGTGTCCTTCATAGCTTCCTTGTATTGACATGTGCCCATTACCTGCTCTGCAGCTGCTTGGTCTGTGGATACTCGAGCCTTTTTCAAGAGCTGCCGAAGTCTGTCCAGTTCCTCCTGGTGTGACCTGCGAATCTCATCCATCTCTTCCTCAGCCTGACAGCGCTCCTGAGCTGATTTCTTTTTCCTTTCTGAGAGGTTCTTGGGAACAAGAGAGCCACCCTCAGTACTAGCTCCACAGTGTAGACGGCAGCGGTAATGACGTCAGGGGATCAGTTCTAGGATTCCTTTTTAACCCCCCCCCCCCCATACACACACCTTTATTTCCTGCATCCCTGCCACTGAGATCAACTCTGACAGGGAAAAGAGTGGACGACAGATTAACTGCCATGCTCTTAAGAGCCGCGGACAGCATCATGTTAGTGTGGTACGAGACGTACAGATGGGTGTACATTCACACCTGGCTGGCTACGAGAAAATAAATGAACACAGTCTCTGGATGGTAATCCTATGAAATGCTTTTTAAAATGCATACATCCAGAAATTTTATAAATTGTAATTTATCATAAGTCATAATGTGAAATATGTAAGGATAGTTACTATGACAGTGTCTGAAATAGGGAAAAACTGAAAATGGCACCAAATCCGGAATTGCTTTTAAAAGTACAAGGAAAAAAAAAATAAAAGAGGAACTGGGAAGATGGCTCAATTGGTAAATCACTTGCCACACAAATAATAAGGACCTGAGTTCAGACCTTCAAAACCCATAAAAAGGAGACTTGGTCTCAGCACTACTATGGCAAGAGGGGACATTGGTCAGCAAGGGAACAAGTCAGCGACTCAAGCAAGCCGGAAGGCAAGGACTGACACATAAGGTTATCCTCTGACTTTCACATGTACGCATGCTTTTGTTCTCATGATCTCTCCCTACTTTAACAGGCACAAGCACATGTGCGGGCACACACACTTTAAGAGATAAAATCATAGAAGAAACCATAAACACAGATCAAGATTGCCTCCTGAAAAGGCAAGAATAACTTTGATAGAGGCTTACTGAAACCTCAGTAACAGTTTGTTCTTTTCATATTAAACTGTTCGAGAACAAAGAAAAAGATAGCAACGTTCCTGCTTTGTTCAATGGGGTGATTACCCTGATATAAAAAATTTAAATAATGTCTGACTCAGAAATAGCAGGCTAGGGGAAGTGAGCTAAAGAGACAGCTCAGCAGTTAAGAGAGCCTGCTGTTCTTTCAGAGGACCAGATTTGGGGTTCTAGCACCCATGTTGGGTGGCTTACAACCACTTTTAACACCAGCTCCAAGGTATCTGACACCCTCTTTCGATTTCTTGGAGCACCCACACATACACACACCCACACACAAAATAATGAAAAATGAGGGGGTTTTGTTTGTTGTTAACTAAGCACCTTTGGCTGACCTAGAGCTCATTATGTAGAGGAGGCTGGCCTTAAATTCACGCAGTCACCTGTCTCTGCCTCCTGAGGGCTGGGATTAAAGGTGTGCACCATCACACAGAGCCTGTCTGTCTGTTTGCTGAGACAGGTCTCATTATGCTGGCCTAAAATTCATTATGTAAGACCAAGCTGGCCTCAGACTCACAGAGATCCACCTGCCTCTTCCTGCCTCCAGAGTCCTGGGATTAATGGCATGTCATCACAGTAAGTCTTAAAAAATGAGAATAATTTTTTTTTTGAGAAATAACTTTTTAAAAGATGGAAAAATATTAGCAATGTTTATGGCTGAAAAGGGATTAACACTCTTAATATTTCTGTAGGAAAGAGGATAAAGGACTCCAAAAGAGAATTCACAGGAGAAACAGAAATAGGTATGAAATGTATGAAAACTTTTATTACTAATAAAAATACTTAGCTGTTGGGCATGGTGGCACAGACCTTTAATCCAAGCACTCAGGAGGCAGAGGCAGCAGGCGGAGGCTAACTTGGTCTACACAGCTCCAGGATAGCTAGGACCACATAGAAAGACCCTGTCTAAAAAAAGCAAATCAACCAACCAACCAAACAAACAAACAGCTGTTCAGTCTGAGGAGATCCACAGCAGTTTGAAATGGAAACTTAAAACCTAAATATCCACTGCTTCAGCACAGGACAGCTGCACAGTAGGCTAACACTCAGCTACAGCTAAGAAGTAGTGAGTATTGTCTTGTCAACACTTTGAAAAGTACTACATACAAGCCCAACACTGTTTAGAAATGTTATCAGCACATGTTTGTGTACAGGGATATGTAATATTTTACGCATACAGAGAGCAACCTGGAAGATTCATGTGTTGTTTGTAGCTGATATTTATAACCCATACAATTAAAGAAGCAACTAAAGACAATTTTTAACTTTATACTTTTCTGTATTGCTTGCACCTTCTTAATACATTCATACTATTAAAACTTTTTAATGTCAAACAAAATTGTTTATTAATCATCTATGCCTGGCCACTTGGGTCCAATAGGAACTTTGGCCTTGGAACTTACCTTTTCCAGGGACTCCTTCTCATCTCTGAGGTCAGTCAATTCTTCCTCCAGGGACTTCACCTTGAGCTCCAGCTGTCTGCGGCTCTGCTTTTCACTTTTAAATTTGGACTGTGTTTGCTCAGAGGCTTCTTGGAGCTCTAGGACAGAGAAGGGAGACTTGAGTGTAGATCCAGAGTTCTACAATGGAGTGTGGCATCCCAGAAGCTCGTTCAAAGCTGCATGCTTTAATCTCCCAATACTACCACATGAACGATCCTCCCTGACCTGCAATAAGAATCAGCAAGCTCTACACTGACTCTGCAGTCAACCCATAGCAACCCGGAAAAGGTAACTTCTATATGTATACACCTCCTTCCACACATGCAAAGTAGGAGAGAATGTTCTCTGGATAGTCAGAGAACACCTTTAACACTGGTCACTCTTATAATTCCACTTCCATTGCTATACAACCACATGGGGTGTCTTTGTTGAGTAAAGCTCAGGTGCCTTCTCACTGCCTGGATAACACTCTCAGCTTTCTTGGTAGCTAGGACATTTGATCAAGAATTTGCTTTCCAAATATCCCTTCTCAAATAAGGTTGGGGGTGGAGGTTATCTTTTAATTTAGTATACTAAAACTTGTCTGAAAGCTAGTTCTTGAAGTAACTGTCACAGGGAACAGTCAGGGGAACTACAAGAGCAGAAGTGAGAGATCTACATGACATTCAAATCTAAAATTGTCCAGTATGTTTGCTTGAGGTGGTCAAGTAGTGCTCTGTAAGAGAAGGGATGCATCCTCAAGAAATCACCTTCCCAATGCTGCCAGTAATTCTGAGCTTTCTCTTGGACAGGGAAGTGTGCCTCCAACACGCTGATGCTGTCTCTGTCCCTGCCCACTGGTCCCAGATGCCTTCCACACAGGCTTCTCTACACCAGGATATGAGTCAACAAGCCGGCACTCACAAACTTTTAGCTAATCAGTATGTCTTCATCACTCCCTTGTGCCAAGCATTGAACACCCTCATATGGAAGAAGGGATTTTACAAAGAATAAGTCACTGCCCTTGCCCTCCAGGGACTTATATTCCAGAGAGAAGAATAGACTTATAAATGATGCTTATCAAAGGCTATTTCAATGACCAGAATAATGCACTAAGAGATAAAAGATTTTAAAGGAAGATCAAATAGTTTAGAAAAACCTGGGGAAACTTGTAAAAGAGGCAGATTTTGGAAAGGATTGGAGATACTACTGATGGCGAGCACACCAAATGATGGTTACACCACCCTAAACACAATTATTCTAAGAGAAGATCATGATGAAAAGCAAAACAAAATGAGCAGAAGAGTAGCCAGCAGGACTGTTTTATGGTAGAGCTCTGGGCCTTGAGTCCAAGCTGGCACACAGCAATCCACTCTCCAGGAACGAGTTTCAAACCACAACAGGAAGTGCTTCTTCAAAATCCATGAGTTATGAGTCAGTATTTCCTCACGCAGAGAAACAGTTCGACTCATTACTTAAAACTGAGCTGAGGGAGAGGGTGTCTTCCTGTAAAACAATCGTGTAGTTTTTCTACCAGTCCCCCTTAATGCTCAGTCCTTCATGAGTGACATGAACATCATGACAAAGGAACTGACAGGAAGGAAGCCATTTAATGCCTTAAATTTAAATGGCAGTCTTGCTGGCATTCTCCTCTGAGAACTTACCTGAGAGGTCAGCCTGGAGTCTGGTGACCTGGCCCCTGAGAAGATCTGTCTCTTTCAGGCTTTCTGTCAGCTGCACCTGCAGCTCTGTCTCCCTTTTCTGGTGAGCCGTCATTTTCAGCTGCAGTTGAGAGACCTGTGCAGTGGCTGCTGCTAACTCTTCTGTCACCTTGGCCTGAACAGTGACAAAGGGTGACATCACTTTAGACATAGGCATACCAAGTACTGATTCAACCTCCAGTGACTCTAAGCTAATGGAACTGGTAAACAGGAAGGGAGAAAAGGATACTTGAAAACATACCAGGGTTCAGAGTGAATTCTGTTGCAGAAATCTGTTCTTAGGAAATACTACACAGCCAGATGTGGCACATAGCTAAAATCCAGTACTTGGGAGGCTGAGGCAGGAGCATAAGGAGTTCCAGACAAGCCTTTGTTATGTAACAGAGCTATTTCAAAAGCACACAAAGAAACAAGGACTATCTGTGATGACAAAAAGTTTGTTACAAGGCTGTTCAATGCAGCATTAAGTTGTAACAGAATGCAAAACTAACACAAAACACTGAAGAGACTAAGCAAGGAAAATATAAAACACTCATCCTGTGTGCTATCAAAATTGCATTTGAAAAGAATATTCAACAGCATGGAATACAGCAGGAACCTACTGCTAAATGAAGAATACAAGTAGATTATCAAATAGTATTTTAAATATTATTCTGTTTTTATAAAATGATCCATATGTGAAGGAAAGAGCTTGCAGGCATTTTTCATCAATAGTCAATAGTTCTAGAGAGAACTTGGGTGCTTTCTACTCTCTTCTTGTTGATTGGATTATATTTTATGTAAGTCTTTCAAAATGATGGTTCATAAATTAATCTTTAATAATGGTCTGTTGCGAACCAAAAAATCTGAGCACAGGGGTCTTTCCTGAGACTGATACTCTAACCAAGGACTATGCATGGAGATAACCTAAGACCCCTGCACAGATGTAGCCCATGGCAGGTCAGTATCCAAGTGGGTTCCACTGTAATAGGAACAGGGACTGTCTCTGACATGAACTGATTGGCCTGCTCTTTAATTATCCCCCCCTGAGGGGGAAGCAGCATTACCAGGCCACAGAAAAAGACAAGGCAGCCACTCCTGATGAGACCTAATTGACTAGGATCAGAAGGAAGGAAAAGAAGACCTCCCCTATCAGTAGACTTGGGGAGGGGCAAGCATGCAGAGGGTAGAGGAAGGGAGGGATTGGGACGGGAGAAGGGAGGGAACCGGGGGGGGGGGGGTACAAAGTGAGTAAAATGTAATTAATAAAGAATTAAAAAAAATAATGGTCTGTTGCTCAAAAATTTTTTAAAGTATTTAAAAAGTAAATAGTGAGCATCCTCCACTCTATCCAGTTCTGCCTTGCCTCATATTGATAACCACACAGAAATGTTTTTTCAGGAGCTTGCAAGATTATCCAAGAGGTAAAGATGCCTGTTGCCAAGATAGGCAACCCGAGTTTGATTTTCAGGACTCACATGGTAGGAAGAGAAAACTGATACTGGAAAGTTGACCTCCACATGTGCCCTGTAGCAAACGCATATACACATACACACATACCCCCCCACACAACACAAAATAAATAAAAATGTAGCAAAAGACATATGTATTCAACTTCATATTTATATAAAGTGATTATTATATACATACTGAGTCTTCACATATTCCAGATAAAACAGCAGATAAGCTATATATTCAATAGTACATATGAGTCTTCTTCCTTTTTTTTTCAAATCTGTATCATATTCTACTGTGTGGATGTAAGACAGTTTAATCTGTACGGCAGCACATGTGGAGTGTTTCTAGTCCTTTTCATTACACCAATGAGCATCTTGGATCCATTTTATACAATGATCCCCTTTGTAGTCAAGAGCCCTTTAGAATAGTCCCAGATGCAGAACTTCTAGATCAAAGCAAATCCATGTACAATTTTGTATATCACTAGTTCTCCTCTGTCAGCTATTCTAAATGTTTCATCATCCACTGCCAAAATTTCAATCAAGCTGGTGAGAAATGGCATTTGTGCCACTTTCTAACATTTCTATGCTAGACAAGTACCAACTTTAAAGAGACTAAATATTCTCAGGGAACTTCCGATGAAGGTGAAATGACTGAAAACTATCCCAAATGAATAACAAACTAAACACAGCCAAAGGAGCAAATTAGACAGTCTTAAATTCCACTAAGAACATATTCATTTGTTACATGGAATAACAGAAATTTTCTGTTGATTCTATCAAAAGAATAAATTTAGCTTCTTATAAAGTATAATAATCTCACAACTGTCAAATTATGAAGACAGGTAATTGGATTTTTCTTCTTTTTGTTTCCTTTTTTTTCCCCAAGAGGATCTCATTATGTAGCTCAGACTACCCTTGAACTACAGATTCTCCTGCCTCTGCCTGGCAGAAGCTGAGATTATAGACATGAAACATCACCCCTAGTTCAGTCATTGTTTTTGAGTCAACTTATTGCAAAATATTTAGTAAACACATCTAGAGGTGATGAGTACATGAAAATCTGTTGGAGGGTCTAAGTCTCTTCCCAAACAGACCGCTGCATAGAGACTACGAAGTTCGCGTGTAGACTATACCTCAGCTCAACACTTCCCAACCCGGGCCTTCCTCTGTCCTGTTCTTTTACCTTCTCCTGTTCGGCATGCAATACTCTTGCCTGTGTGTTTTCTGTGGCTGTTTGAAGTGAGTTGTTCCTCTTCTCCATCATCAAGTTACTCTGCTCAACATACCTGAGACAGAAATAAAGGCAAAGAAAACATTTATCAAGCATTGAATGTTTGACAGGCACAAGGCAACCTACTCAGTTCTCCTAACATTGCTCCGCACCATCCTCAGACACAATCTGAAGGGAGCTGGAGAGGTGGCTCCTAAGTTAAGAGCCTTTGATGATTTTGTAGAGGACCCAGACTGAGTTCCCAGAACCGACATGGTGGTCCGTTACCATCCGTAACTCCAGTTCCAAGGGATCCAGCTATCTCTTCTCTCCCAGGGCACTGCACATACATGATGCACAGATATGTAAGCCAAACATCCAAATGTATATTTTTTAAAATCTTTAAAAAAAAAAAAATCAAGCAACCTGAAGAATGTAGCTTTCCTGAGACCTGCAGAAATTAACCCTGCTACCTGTAGTGACTAAGGAGGTGGCAGTCTGGGCCACAGATGACTCACTCTGCATAATGAAGGGAGACAGCAAGGGGTGCATGTTAATGGGAGAAAAGAAAAAGGAGCTAGAAAGACTGTTAGGGGAAAAGAAGAGAAGAAGCCACTCTTCCAATCCTATCCTGTGAGAGACAAAAACATGGACAAGAGAAATATGGGAAAAAAAAAAAAAACCTTTTTCAAATAAAATACTGATTTGAGACTATTTCTGTTTACCTTTCTACCTCCCACAAAGCCCAAAAGTATGAAATGATTGTGCTTTATGAAATCAGTGAGGCTCTGGTTGAGCTCTGATTGATAAAATAGCCCACGCAGAAAAGAGTGGATAATTTTCTATACAACACCATTTTCAGAGATGAGGAAGCTAGGCCCGCAGACACAAACAAAATACCCAAAGCCACCCAATAAGTGAAGAGCAGAGCTGAAAGTCAAACACAGTTAAGTCTCATACCATCCACAGCCACCTCAGCTTTTACTGCTGAAGACAGAACAAGTAATTGACACAGGAGCAGAAAGAGAAATAGTTGAAATACATGCGGAGGAATAGGTTGCAGCTCAGAGGTATTCTGTACTTAGTATGTGCAAGGGCCTCAGGTTCAAAAAACAAAACAAAACAAAAATGTAGAGAAGAGAGCTGTGCTTAATATACTGCCCTCAACAAATGTGTATTACAGTGGACAAATGCACACTACACCCTTTGTCTACCCTCCCCAGCCTTGTCCCCGCCATTACCTCTGATTTCGTTCAATGAGTTCACTGATCTTGTCATTCTGCTCTTCTATGCGACTGCTTTTCTCAAGGAGCTCCTGTTTCAGTCTCTCATTTTCCTAAATCCAAATATACAACTCTCATGGTTAAGTGTCTTAAAAGTACCCAGTAAGTATCTGGAAGGTCCCACTTCCTATCCACTCCCTGCCTCCTGGGCTGCAGCTGCAACATAAGCAGCCATCTCATGGCCTGCTACCATGCCTTCCCTGCCATGAAAGGCTGTATCCCCAAGACGTGCGGCTAAATAACATGAACCCATGAGTGGCCTTCTGAACACATTTTGAAACAAACACTAAGACTTACTTCCCCCACAGACATAACTATTAAAGTAACAAATTGAATTATACCTAATGGATTTTAATCACTAGGCTAGATAGGCTGAAGATTGAGATGGTCATAAAATGAAACAAGAGTTTAAAATAGGGCTAAAAAGCAATGTTTCTTTTTTACTACATACAGCATAAGTCATTTTGATTTGTAGAATATAGTTCCTAGCTAGGTCCCACCTCCTTTTGCTCAATAAGACCAGTTGCCTCAACTTCTGCTACCACTCCTACCTACTACAATGGGCTGGCTGTATGCTCTCAAACTAGGATGCAAAATGAACCTTGCTTCCTAGAGTTGTTTCTTGTCAGGTAATTGGTCACAGCAGTAAGGAAAATTACTAAAATAAAAGTCTAACTCACGGAACCAAATTAAGCCACAATAGTTTTTCCAACTGTAGTAGTCAACACATGCTATTTCTACGGGTGAGGGACAGACCTTAAAGGGTAGCACACCTGAGGAGGGAGTGTGGACAAGCCCTCCAGGTTGTGCTGTATTCCCAGTCGTCCTCACCTGAATGATTCGCTGGATGTTGCTCATAATCATGCTTGTTTCCATTGTGACTGACATGCTAGGAAGAAGCATGGAATTGCCTGAGCTATGCTTCTGTAACTCTTCGACCTGCAAAAGCAAAGCCAGAAAGACCCTGTGAACAAGTATAAGTGAGGAAATACAATTCACCCAGGACTAATCACTTTCTTGAGAGAGCTAAAAAATTTCTGAGACAGTATCTAAATGCACACTTGCTTTCTCCTGCTAACTTGATCCCAAAATAGAGATAACCCCTTTTCTAGGGAAATGGCTAAGAACTATGAATACGGGAAACCAAGGAAGAGTTTTCTTACAGTTGCGGGTGCTCCTATTTACATCTTACTATTGCCCACTTCCTACCCCCCCTTTTAATATTTTATGATCTCTTTTTAAAATTAAAAAAAGTCTTTAGATTTATCTTCTGTCTTGAGTGCTTTGCCTGCGAGGATGTGTGTGCACCACGTGTGTGCCTGGGGCACCAGAGATGAGAAGAGGCCGTCAGGCCTCCTGGATGGAGCTAGAGCTCTGAACGACTGCGAGCCGCCATGTGGCCACTGGGAACAGCCGGACCCTCTGAACCGCCACCCTGCCTTTATTTATTATCTCGTTATTAAACTCCATACACATAGACAATGTGTCCTTATTATACCCACAGCTACTTATTTAAAACAGTCTATTATCATGTTTACATATAGGATGCATGGATACAGACATGTACACCTGTGTATGTACAGAAGTCAGAGTATAATTACCAGGAGTCAGTTCTCTCTTTCCATGATGAATTTCAGGGATCAAATTCTAATTGGTGGGCTTACTCAGCAAGTACTTTTACCTGCTAAGCCATCCTTTGGCCCAACTGCACCATTTTCAATAGAGCCTCAGCTCTGACTCAATCACCTTAGTCATGAGATGATCCATTTTATCAGCCACTTTGCTGACTGCCATTCGAATTTCAGTGTTGTGTTGCCTCGCTTCAGTCATGAGAAAGGACATCATGTCACCTGATCCTAAACAGACATGAAAAGGAAACCATGTGTGAAAAAACCAAGGGCAGTTTTAGCAGAGGAAAGAAAGGATCATGTATGAGGAACTATGATAGGTGATTTCACATTGTCAGGAGAAGACATTGAAGAGAGGATAAAGACAAAGGGGCTCCCAAGCTATTAATAACTGAGTTATATTTCTGCAAAATACTTCAAGAGCTAAGATACGGTCCAAATGCACACTGGTCCAAGTATTTCCACTTTGGACTACTATAATCCCAACGTTGTTTTCCCATTCACCAACTGCATGCCAGGTATTGCACAGACACTAGGAATACAGTCATAAATAAAATATGATTCCAGATCTTAGCGGGCTACAGCTGGAAAACTGACATATAAACAAATCATTACAAGTGTTTTAAATGCAAGATGGGCATGGTGGTACATGACTGTAACTCACTAGGCACACAGGGGATTCAGGGTTCAGCTCAGCCTAGGCTACAGGAGATGCTGTCTCAAAAATATTTTTTTAAAGGGGGTGATTTCAAGTGTAGAAAAAAAGACCATGTACAAAGTACAAAAGTAGCATCTTAAAAATAGTATTAAGCTTTATTGTGATGAAAATATGCAGTTGTGTCTCCAGGAATAGTGATGGAGAGGTGGGTGAGCCAGAGGAAATGTCAGGCTGCAGGGATGCAGAAGTGTTTCAAAGATGGAGAAGTGACAGGGCTCCAGGCAAAGGGTACATTTAGGAAGCCCTTCCCACTGCAGAACTGCAGCTGAGCTGTTGGATGTACTTGTTTCCTCTTGCCACTATCCTGATGCCAAAGTGATTACCAAGCAAAAGACAGGGTGCACATGACGGCAGGAAAGCAACACATGCGACGACATTTCACTTGCTTTGTTTACAGAAGATGTCTACATTTGCTCAAGTGCATAAAAGACATACAAAGTTACCCAAGCAACTGTAAGAGAGGGCAGAAGGTTAATGACAAAGAGAACACTTTATCCCATTTTGTATTGCTTGACATTTTTACTAAAGTGAATTACTTTCCTAATTCATAATGTTTAACAAAATAGTTTTCATCTGAGTAACTAAATGCCCATAGCAGTCTGCCTCTTTCCTCCCAGTCCCTCTACTGTTTGCTCTTTCACTATCTGCTTTAAGCTGTCACTCTGACAGAAGAATTTAAAAAGCTGGTAGGGGAGCATGGCAGGAGAAAGACCCATCCCATGGGCACAAAGGGCCTTTGGGGAAGATGCAAATGTTCTAAAAACAGACTGTTGTGATAGATGCACAATTCTGAACATTTCCTTAAAAAAAATTCCTGGGGTCTGGAAATGCTCAGCCAGTAAAATGTTTGCTCCACAGATCAAGGACCTGAGTGTGAATCCCCAGCACCTATCTAGATTAACTAAAAAGAGCTGAGCATGGTTGTGTACACCAGTAATGCCAGCACTGTAGGGTGGACACAGATGGATCCTGAAATTTCCTTGGCTAGCTGGTCTACCCAAAATGGCAGGGTTCCAGTTCAGTGAGAGACCTCATCGCAAAACAATAAGCTGCAGAACAAAAGAAAAGACATCCAATGCTCTGTTTTGGCCTCCACATACATGTCCACAGATGTGCATAGCTGTGCATTCATATATATGCACACATATACACATACAGAACACGTACTGTATGTATATATATCTATGCTGTCTTTGAATGATATGTTTAAATTATATGGTATATAAATTACATCTCAAGCTGCTAAAACAAACAATGGAAAGAAAGAAAGGGTATAGAGCTGCTAGAGGAAAAATGAAAACAGAACAAGAAGGAGGAGAGCCCAGCAAGGGCAGAAGATGAAAAACTGGAAGAAGGAAGTTATTCCCTACCTTGGAAGTGGGGAGCCTGAGACAGTGGTGTCGGGTACAAGGGCTGAACAGGCTGCAGCTGGGAGGCAACCGAGGTTGCCTGGGGATATGTGTAAGCTTGCATACCTGCATAGGGCTGAGAAAGTGACAAGTTACTTGCTTAGTTTCCTATGATAGAACAAAGCAGATAAACAGGGAGGAGGCTTGGTTACTAAGGCTGGAAACGACGAAGTAAGAGTGAGGCAGTCGTCTATGGAACTTGACGGTACCTGGTCATTCCAGTCCTACCCAAAACCTGAGGAACAGGAATCCTGGATCACTACCTAGTCCTCTGGTAATATGATTTAATGAAGTGGGAATTTACTTTCTACTACCAGGTGTATTTTTAAGGAAAATTTAAAACTAAGCAAATCTTGTTTAGTTTTTTTGAAGAAAAAAAAAAATATTTCTTAAAATTCTAAACTAAACTAGCCAGCTTCCTGAATTTCTGAGGATGTTTCTCCACTGCTAGGGTCTTTTTTCATTTAAAAGGATTTTGTTTGTTTGTTTGTTTGTTTGTTTGTTTGTTTAAATATGTATGCATGTGTGTCTATGTGTGGGTATGTACAAGTATGTGAGGGTTTCTAAGCAACCAAATATGGTGGGTTCCTAACAGCTGAGCCATCCATTGCTCACCCCCTAGACTGTTTTGTTTGTGTTTTCAAACATGGTTTCATGTAGTTCAGGCTGGCCTCAAAATCACTATAAAGCTAAGGATACTCTTGCATTCTTGATCTTCCAGCTACCAGCAACCTCATGCTGGGATTACAGGTTTATGCCACCATGTCCAGTACCCTTGTGAGATCCTGAGGCTTATCTGAGTGACCAGCAGATCTCATTTTTCTGAACTGGAGTATCAACTGTGAAAAGAAGATGTATTGCTTTATGGGATTTGCTATGTGCACTAAATGAAGGGATACAGGCAAATTAAGTGCCTGGCAGATCAGCTGTCGTTTAAAGGAGAGTCATTCTTCCCCATAGGAACACCAGATTATTTCCCAGAGTTGGCCAATATCCCAATTTTCTTAGGGCCCCCAAAAGATTCCTTCCTCCCACCCCCAGACATCAAGAAGCAATCTTAAGATAATTATGTCCCATTCCCAAGAGGTAGGGTAGGTGGTTTTTGGTCGTTTGATGGGTAATGGATCTTTGTCGTCGTTTAAGGGGGTTGGTTACAAGTTGTTAATGGAGGAGTCAAGTAAAGGAGGTTAGACTCAGGGATTTCTTTCTCTTTCTTATACTTTCGTCTATTCTTTCTTCCCTATCAATTGCTAGGGGGAAGGGGGGTGTTAAATAAAGAAAAGGGAAGAATATAGAAATAATAGGATAAAAGGGTAGATTATTGAATCTACTTTCAAACTAAAGAGCATCAACAAGCCAAATGTTTTACATTGGTATAGATTTTTGTATGTTGATAAAAATTTAAGGTTATTCTTACTACAACATACTGTTTATATATTTCAACTCTTGTTTAGGGTACTGTACCTATACAACTCATTCAAAAATGCAATGTGAAGTTCTATTCCTTTTGAAAGCTACTATTGCAAACTGTGTAGTCAGTCAAACAAGCCTGAAGTCTTGTTAGGTGCTAGTTTAGTTAATTACAGAAATACGCTTTATTTAGCCTCCTGTTAATGTTTTCAAAGTTAAACAGACAGTAAATACCTAGAAACAAGCAATGTTTGCCTATTCAGATACACTATAGATAGAGAGATGGTCTTCAAACACTTCAGAGACCTACAGAATATAGCATTTAAATATGTTTTAATAATAAAAGGCTTTTTGACAGTGAGACACGCCCTGCTCCTGGCAGCACCCCCAAACCACTTCAAAGAAGATGATGGGCATTGAAGAACTTCCACATGGAGTTTGCTTCAAATGTGCCAAAGCTAACCATCAGGGGGAAAAATGCCCTTGCCTTAACTGCTGATAGCATGCCGTTCAAACTGTGGACAAGCAAGACACAGAGAAAACTGACTCTCAAATTTTGCCAAGACAAGGTAGGCCAGTCCTTCAACATTCCTGCTTCACAAATAAGTCTGTCAGATACTCTGGGCTGGTTGACTGAAGACATGGACGCTCCTACGTTGCAGAGAAATCTTGGGTGACTGTCCAGGCAGCCAGCTGTAGGAGTGACACTTTGTGCACTATGTAAAGGTTATCCTTGTGTTACTCAAATGCTGAGCTCTGTGCTGACAGAGATCGGACTACAAGTCAAACCCTACTATTGTCATTATTATGAAGCATCTCCTGTCTCAGCAGTTATTATAATTGGTCATATAAAGAGCTGAATGGCCTATAGCTGAGGCGGGATTATGAGGCAGAGAGAGAGGGGTTCGCAGGTGGGAACTGGAGATGCAGAAGTTCCCAGCCAAACAGACAGAAAGAAGCAAGGACTAAAAGACTGTGGCAGAACATGCCAGACCAGTATTTGCTGGGTTAGAACAGCTCAGAATCTGACCAACTATAGTGCCCCAAAGCTAATAATAAATACAATAAGTCTCTCTGTGTCATTATTTGGGAGCTGGTGGTCCAAAGAAAGCCCCATTATAGGGAACTGCTGCTATGTAAAATAGAGAGAAGGGATCTTCTATGTTCATACAAGAAGAACATAAATTATATCTCATGCCTAGGAGGTTTTTAAAATAACCTTGTCACCTGCGGGCTGGATGTAGTGGTGCACACCTTTAATCCTAGCTCTCAGGAGGCAAGAAACTACCAGATCACTGAGAGTTTGAGGCCCACCTGGTGAGATGTGTGTGTGTGTGTGTGCGTGTGTGTGTGTGTGTATTCAATTAAATATATATTCAAATGCTGATTTCTGTACTGGCAGAGATCTGGTTACATGGTTACAGGTCGGACTTTGGCTTTGTAATTGTAGACCACAGGGAGCGCTCTGTGTCTTTTTATTTTAAGATTTATTTGTCTATTTATTATGGATGTTTCATCTGTACACTAGAAGAGGGCAGCAGATACCATGGGACTACAGCTATAGACAATTGTGAGCTGTGGGTGCTGGGAATTGAACTTGGAACCTCTGCAAGAACAGCCAGTGCTCTTAACTGCTGATCCATTTCTCCAAAGGTTTTGTCATTCTAATTCCTCAGACATGCATCATATTTTGTAAACACTCCCTCCAATACCTTCTGATTGGCTTAATAAAGAGTTGAATAGTTGAGGCAAGAGAAGATGGCAGGACTTCCGACAAAGATAGAAACTCTGGAAAGAAATCTGAGGCAGGAAGATTCGCCAGCCAGCCACAGAAGAAAAAACAGGTGCTGAGGCAAAAACAAAAATTCGTGTGTGTGTGTTTGTATATATGTATATATGTATGTATGTATGTGTAATACATACACACACACATATATACATACACATAAAAAGAGAGAGAGAGAACCAGATCAGCCAAGACTAAGACCCCCCTCTCAAAATAACAAAAAAATTAGAACAGGTTGGTAGTGGCAGCAGTGGTAGCGATGCACGCCTTTAATCCCAGCAATTAGGAGGCAAAGGCAGGCAGGATCTCTGTGAGTTCGAGGTCAGCCTGGTCTACAAACAAGTCCAGAACAGCCAAGGCTACACAGAGAAACCCTGTCTTGAAAAACAGACAAACAAAGAAATTAGTTAATCAGAAATAGTTACCTGGAAGTTCTGAGCATTTCCAGATACAGCTGAGTGGGAATCGAGGGGTGCAACTTGCATCAAGGCAGCAGAGGGTGTTTGGAGCCCAGAAACAGATGGCTGATGTGCTAAAATAAATCAAGATATTTTTTTGTTATCCCTATTTGCTTCTTGTGTCAATGCAAAAACACCAACTCTCATCTCGAAAGAAATAAAAGATAATTTATTTTGGAGCCAAATATGTGTGATCATGGCTTGGGAGCACAGACTCAGATTACTCCAAATTCCATGTTTTTATACAGTTAACAGTTGCATAAAGTTTTCACAAATTTCGATGCTTTTTAAATACAGTAGGGGAAACTCCAGGTAGGAATGTTCCAGAAAGGCAGAAGGTCTCAGTTTCAGACCTCAGATGCTTTCTAACCACATTCTTAGCTTCTGGATGGTGGAGATTAGTATTCTGTACATTCTGAAAGATTTATCTAGTAGCATCAGAGATATTAGGTCACACACAGAGAAGGGCAATAATGGCTTTTAAGTGTGCTAAAGATAGCACAAGATAATTTACAGTTGGTCTCTGAACCTGCTGGATCCTTGTCTTTCCACAATCACTGGCATTCTTATCAGTCAGTCAGCCATACAGGTTCAGTGTCAAGTGCGGCTCTTTCCAGAAACTTTCCTTCACTTAGAAATCAGAACTAGCACCTGACATTCCCAAGCTTTAAACCAGAGCATGCCTGAAGAAGCCCCACGGGCATCCCAGCAATGGACAGAAACAATGACTCAAATCCCATCAGCTGACAAGTGCAAAATAACACACACTGAGCTGTCTCTACAGCTGAGCACAGACTTCCAAAAGAGATAATGCAACACAACAGAAAGCACAACAAACAGGCTGAAAGTCTGAAAGTGTTCTACTTGGGGACTAACTGACAAGTTTTAGTCTCTAACCCAGGCCGCAACCTTAACAATGCAAGCTAATAATCTAAGGAACACTGATGAAAATTGATTCAACTCAAGAGCCCAGCCTTACAGTCCCCTTCCTTACCCTGTGAGGCCATCTGTGGTAACACCGGATGAGCTGGCTGAACAGGCGGTGTCACTAGGGGCTGCCCAGCTCCTCGAAACACATTTGCATCCTGAAAGAAGCACAAGGGTTGGTCACTATGTGTAAGCCTTTGGCTGACGACAAAGGCTGCCCGTCTCTAACTCTGCTCACAAGACAGGATTCCTAGTCAAGAAAGAGGAAGAAAAAGCAGGCAGAAAGGCAGTAGTCAGTGAAATAAGTTATATGGAGGAAGCACTCAATTATGCAAGAGAGTACAAGCCCTTCTTCTTATAAATCATTCAAGTAATTATACACAGTTCATTTCTACAGATGTTCTGTTGGTGTTTGACCATTTCCAGCAGCTAAACTGACAGTTCTACAGAACAAACTCACCACCAGCTATCCCACGGATCTAACTTGTTCCCACAAGAAGAGCCTCTTACAAGGAAAGGAATTGCCAAGCAATTTCAGACCTCAGGGCACCCACAGAACACTGGACAGAGCAGGAGTCACTGCACTTCACTAGCAAGCTGGCTTTAGTAATGTCCTGTCCACCTAGGATATTTGTTCTAATTCTTTTGTTGTTGTTGTTGCTTGGTGTTTTGGTTTTTTTGAGACAAGGTCTCTCGATGCAGTCAGGGCTATCCTGGAACTTACTCTGTGGACTAGTTGGCCTCAAACTCAGAGACACTCCAGTCTCTGCCTGAAAGTGCTGAGATTAAAGGTGTGTCACCACACCTGGCTGTTTGTTCTCATTCTTAAAATATTTTTAAAAATTCATAAAACCAAAGCTGTAACTTTAAGCAAAGCTGCTCTGTATTCCTGCTTCATGCAAGGACACCAAGTCTGACACATGATTCCTGTGACTATTATTTGCTGTGCTGTGGTCTGGGGCTGTCGCCTCTTGATCATTCTTATACTTTTGAGCTTTCCCCAGCCCCAGATGTTCTCTTCTGGGAAAATCAGTCCACTTTTAAATTATTACTGATTTCCATGTCTACCAGGAGAGTAAAGGAAATTATGGTAAGTAGAAGACCTTTAAAGCAATGTACTGTAAAGCAAAACACTTTATGTATATTACTGATATTCACAAAGGTATTTATGATATAACACTAACTTTGAAAGTTAGTTTATAAAGCAATATGTAAAGAAAATGCTTTTTGTTAAACATATTCTTTCTTTACAATTTTTAATAATGAAATAAGTAGCTTTTAATTTTAATTAATTATACTTAAATTTTAATTAATTATATATCTAAAAATTGATTTTTAATGAATCATAATACTCAAATTTCATTTGAAAACAGTAAAAAATCAGTAAGCTTCCATTTAAAATGTTACATTTTATATCTTTGCCAGGAAAAAATGAATCAATACTATAAAAAAATAAAGCCTATTTCAGAGCATATTTTATATCATTAATTTTCATTTTATATCAAATGAAAATATTCTTAAAAATCAATATATTATAATTTCAGTTCGCTTGAGAAAAGACGGTTTTATCAGTAACAAGCTAATCATTGAAAAAAGGCTTAAGCTTGGATTATAAATTTAGATCTAAATCAATATAAAATAATTGCACTCCTGAAGATATAACGCTATGTTTCTGAAGTATAAAAGTGGGAATGCTTTTTTTGCATGTGTTTGTATGTGTCCATGTGTGTATACAGCAGGGCATGTGCACTTGTGCACTCTGTGCATGTGGAGGTCAGAGGTTAACACTGGGTGTTTGGCATGATCACCTTCCACCTTAATTTCGATTCAGGGTCCCCCCCCCCAACCTAGAGCTCACTCACTGACTAGCCTGGCTGACTCACACACCCCAGAGATCCCCCTGTCAGTGCCTCCTTAGAGCTGGGATTGCAGGCATGAGTCACTGCACCTGGCTTTCCTGTGGGTGCTGGGTTTGCACAGCAAACAGTTCACCATTGAACTATCTCCCCAGACCTGGGAATACTTTCTAAGCACAACATCAAAAGCAAAAAACAAGGGGGATTAGTAGATTTGATTTTAATACAATTCTTGAACTTCTAAATAATATATTTAAATGCGGAAAAGCATTGTATACAAAGTCATAAAATGTAACAATTTCATATTTAAACAACATTGGCAAGAAGACCAGTATTTTCAAAACTGATCTAACCACTCAATCAAGAAACAAAGCTGAAAGCCAGAAGCAGTGGTGTGTGCCTATAATCCTATGCACTGGGGAGGCTAAGGTCAGAAGTCACTTGAATATAAGAGCCTAGGCAACATGGTAGACTCAGTCTCAAAGGAAAAAGCATTGAGTATCTGTAGAAATGTAGACATGCATGCAGGCAAAACACCCATATGCATAAAAAAATAATAAAGTAACACATTTTAAAAGAGTAAAAGAAATTTTTAAAGCAGTGCCTGCGATAGCTGCATATCTTCTTCTCTGAAGACTGAGCCTTGTCCTCAACATGCAGCAGACTGATCACTTCCAGAAAGGCAGCTAAACATTATGAGCCCGCACACTCCAGATCCCGGTACGTGAACGATAACCAAACCTCTTGGTCTAGTTCTTGTGTCATGTGTGGAATCACGTCCAATCGGTCTAGTGCTTGGTCAGATACGCAGGGCTCACCTCTATTCTGAGACAGGCTAGTCACAGTAAAGGACATGTACCCACACTGATCTCAGTGACTCTAGATGAGCAGCAGCAAAGGCACTGATTTGAATCAAAGAAAAAGAAGATGACAGCACCCCCACTTCTCACTGTAACACAGTGAAGGGGACATACTTCAGTTTCTGAGTCATTGGAGTCCAGCTGTGGTGGAAGGATAGGCAGCATGGGCTGACCCATTTTAGCCATCCGAGAGATCAGCTTGGCCTTGACTGTATCAGGACTCTGAAAAGAAGGTACAAACACCACTGTGACTGAGGTTTATGGCTTTCAAACAGGTGTACTTCTTTGCCTTGTGTCAAAACCCTTAGCTCCACTCTTACTTATTAGAAACCATTTCTTCTAGAAATCAAGAACTGATGATACCAAATACAATACAAATACTATGTAAATACAATATTGAGAAAATAATGACAAGAAAGATGTCTATCTGTGCACATTTATCTCATATGCGATCCCTATATCCTCCTCAAAAGAAAGTAAGAATTAAAGATGTCATCTATAGAAGTAAACAATTAATAATATCAACAGTAAAAGTAAGTCCCTATAGACTAGGAATGAATGGATTTCATATGCATGATCTCTTTTAAACCAAGTGAGAGTGCAAATGCACATTTGGTTTATCCTGCTGGGTTTAGAACAGTCTTTACCTATATCAGACCAATTGCCTATGAGGCGCTTCCTGCTGTGGCTGAATGCACACAGGGCTGGAGGAAGGCCTGGCTTCACCCGTCCATCACCTAGTATCCCAGTGGTAGGGGAAGGCTTTGCTTGAGCTTGAAGTTCTTTGTCTACCATCTGGTCCACCTCCAGCGCACTCAAAGCTTGCATGGACCAAGCATTCAGATCCAAATCTTACTGAAATAACAGGTGGTCCTCTTGTCTGACCGTTGGGGAAACAGAAAATCTGTAACCTGCTCAGAGTCAATGGATGAAGAAGCCTCGTGCCTCTGAGAGAATGAAAGTAGTACAGGATGCCTACTCTTTCAGTTAAATGAGTGCTTGCCAATACCCCTCCCATATACACCTTTGATGGTGAGGGCAGCGGTAGTATTTTGTTCTTTTTGAGATAAATATACATAACATAAAATTATATTAGCATCAATTATAATGTGAACAATATGCCAGATATAATACTGAAAACTTAGGAACTGTTCATTTCCTTATGTCAGTTTACAGATAAAGAAATAAAACTATGTTTAGAGAGTAAGTTCTTCAAGATCACACAGAATAAGCATCAAAGAAAGCCAAGAATTAACCTCTAATCCATTCCTGTTGGGATAAATGGCATCTCTAAGATGAAAGGACATTTTACCTGAGGGCTCCACTCCGAACCTCATACCAGAGCTAGTATACCATCCTAGTAATACCAGAGCTACCACTCATTAAAAACAACTTAACCTGGGCTCTGCTCTCAGAGCTTTACAAATATCCTTAATCCTCACAGAACTGTAAATGAGGCTGTAAAAATTATTTTCACCGCAATAATGAAGAAACTGAGTATTTGAAAAGTTAGATAGATCATTTTCTCAGGGCCATATATCTTTTCATTCAGAGCTGTGGAAGTAAATGGCCAGGCTAATTTCTACTGATTAATTTCCAAGTAGAACAAAATGAATTTGGTAACGATTAACTTCTATCCTACATCAGTGGCTCTCAGCCATGTGCTAGGCACATGAAACAAGCATTCCAGGGTTCAGGGTACAGACTCATACTTACTACATTTACAGTAAGCTGCTCACTGAGAGAGTTAGATTTGGAACGAAGAACCGGCTCCCTGAAATCAAATAAAAAATCCTGAGATAATACAAAATCTATAATCACAAGCCCAAATTAAACTGGCTTTAAAACGTTATTTTTAAAATGTTGAACTGAACAGCTAAAACAGAATTTTAAGCCCTCTTTATTTGTACAATCCTTGAACCACCAAAGCTGAACAACCTTTCATTCAAATTCACTCCACTTTCCCATAGGCCCTGCATTCTGTATTCATACCCTTTGTCCTTTGCTCAGCTTCCTTCCTAAGTTTTGGAGGTATTCTATGACCACTTTTACAGGTATCAATCCGTTGCCAGAAGAAGCTGATGCAGCGCTTTCCTGATCTTGTTTTTTCCAATCACTTCAAATCACTTGTAGTTTTAAACTATACATCAAGAAGCATGTTGAAGACTCCTAGATCTCGCTTGCCATGGCCCTAATGTCTTACCCGGGTTTGAGAGGCAGTGTTGCAGGTGGTGTCACAACAGGATCAGCTGAGAGGCTGTCAGCAGTGGGTACGGGGGAGGGGGCTGCAGAATCCCTGGAGCACATGCTGTGACCATCAGAGCCAGAATCTCGGGCAAACTTCACCTAGGGTGGAACAAAAGTACACACTTGCCCTTCCATACTTGTACTTATTCTTTAGCATAAGAATAAGTTGCCTATTCAGTATAGGTAAATTAAAAAAATGCAAAAGACAAAAAAAAAAATGGTTAGTTACAACTCAGCTATTATTACATCATCTTCGTGAATGAATGAATCCATGTATGCTTTTACAAATGGGGCCATAGCTTCAAAGCTGTTCTGCTTACTTGGTTATCCATTAGTGAACTTCCACGTCACTAAATATCTATCTTCACTGTTCTGAGCTACTGAAAAGTATGTCTAACTTCAAGGTCATGCTCTTTCCTGCTACAATTGACAAGGTAAATTCTTCACAGGATTTTTTAAAAGAACTTATAAGTATGTACTTATTATAAAAACCTATTTCACATAACTAGATGGCTTATTTCTATCACAAATAATATGTTAATAAATAGCTCTATATCTAGATCTTTGTATATCATCTCACATAGTTCCTGATTTTAATTCCTGTAAGTTAAATTACTAGATAAAAGGTATACTCTTGAGCCCAGAAGACTATGTGGGTAAAAGACTTCCAGCCAAGCCTGACCACCTGAACTCGACTCCCAGACCCTTGTGGTGAAGGAGAGAACTGATTCCTAGAAGTAGTCCCCTGACCTTCACACATGTATTGTAGCATGCTTGTGCACACAGGTACAAGCACACTATCGATCAATCAATGTTATTTTAAAGAGTGTGCTCATTTTTAAAGACTTCTATATAAACCATCAAATTCTCCTTAGGAAGTATGAACTAGTTCATAAGCTGTAGCAGTGCATGAACCCTTCTCAACACTCTTGACAGTCTAGGGGTTAGCATTATCAACTCCAATTTAAAAAGCTCCAATTCCTTTCTAAAAGACTGAATTTCTATTTTTAAATTATGCATATCCTGTGTGCCTAGGCCTTGCATGCTGAGGCCAGTAGAGGGCATTGGCTCCTCTGGAATTATGAGCTCCCTAATGTGCTTGGTGGTAACTGAACCCTGCTCTTCTGAAAGAGCAGAAAGTACTCTTAACTATTGAGCCATCTCTTCAGCCCCTCCTTCAAAAAGAAATAAAAACAAACAACAAAAAAACAAAAACCACGGTCTTTACCAGGGTCTTCTTGGCTTTTTGTTTAATCAGCATAGATATTAGATATGATAAGGCATTTGCTTTGTTTTCTTTTCTTTTCTTTTTTGTTTGTTTGTTTTTCAACATAGGGTTTCTCTGTGTAGCCTTGGCTGTCCTGGAACTCGCTACGTAGATCAGGCTAGCCTCAAACTCACAAAGATCCACCTGTCCCTTCCTTTCAAATGCTGGAATTAAAGGCCTGTACCACTTTGCTCAAATCTAATTTCTTGATTATTGCTAAATTAGAAAACTTTTGCTTGTTACAAGTCAGTATTTATAGCTTTGAACAAGTTTGTTGTCTATTATTACCCATGATTTCCTCAAGCTCAAAGAAAAATTGAGAGAATCTAGATGTTTAGGGGGGAGGGCTGGAGAGGTGGCTCAGAGGGTAAGAGTGCCTCTGCTGGCTGTTCTTCCACAGGTCCTGAGTTCAGTTTCCAGCTACAACATGCTGTGTCACAACCATCTATAATGAGATCTGGTGCCCTCTTTTGGCATGCAAGCAGAATGGTATGTGCATGGTGGTGCACACCTTTAATCCCAGCACTCAGGGAGGCAGAGGCAGGTGGATCTCTGAGTTTGGGGCCAGCCCGGTCTACAAAGCAAACACAGAACAAGCAAGGCTATATAGAGAAAACCTATCTCAAAAAATAAATAAATAAATAAGGCAACCAGGGACATATCACTGTAAGATTAGAGTGGCCCAACAGAGAAAAAAAGTCTCCCATGAAGAGGACTACCTCTCTGCTATACCCTCTCTGCTCTATGTAACTGCTACATAGAAACAGCTATAATATTAATTTTCTTCTGTTGTATTTTATAGATTCTAGTCACCAGTACCATACCATTTCAACATAATAATAGCAAGGTCATTTGGGAGAAGTGATACTATAAATTAAACAAAATTTGTTGCTATTTTAGTATAGAAATTATACACATTCAAAGATAGGGTCTCACTGTGTGACCCTAGCTGACGTAAAATTCATTAGTGGACCAGGTTGGCCACAAACTCACTAGGATCTAACTGCTTCTGCCTCCAAAGTACTGGAATTAAAGATATGCACCACCAAACCTGGCTGACAAGATTTCCATACACTAAAAAAAGACAAGCCACTGAACTCCAATGCTATTCTCAGAGAAAACCACTAACTATTTCTTCTGAAGCTTTCAGAAATTCCTATGAATGCAGGAACATATGTGTCTTTTATTTATATGTATATATATATATGTGTGTGTGTGTACATATATATACATATATACACACACATACATATATAAGTATGACTATGTATACAAATATGTGTGGTCATTAAAAATATACACCACCATGTCAACATGTTTATGTAGATTCTGAGGACTGAACTCAGACCTCATACCTGAAGGTAAGCACTTTATCAACTTTCTCCCTACCCTTCTATTTCTACTTTTTAAAAGCAATCTGTAGCTTCAGTCACTTACCCGCCTAACTTCTACCTCAAACACCAGGATGGAGTCTGCTGGCTGGGTCCAGCCTATTACTCCCTCAGAGCCAGAAGCACAGGCTGAAGGAATGATAATTAACCGCTTTCCTCCTTTCTTCATGCCCAGTAGTCCATCCTCTAAGCCCTACAGAAATCACAAGTGGGAAATGCTCATCAGTCCAAAAGCACAAGAACATGCACACAAACACATAAACTCACAAACAGCACACGAGCACACACACAGTAAACAAGCAGAAAAAAAGATTACACGCTGGCATATGTGGAGTTGGATAAGGCACATAGCTGATGGAAAAAAGAATTATATAGTATTAAAAGAGAACGGAAGCTATCGATCACTAACCACATCTCTCAGGTGGTTAAATATCCACCTGCTGTTTAGCCTCATGATTGTTAGTATTGCCTTCACCTCCTAAGTGAGAAAACAGCTTCAGTTGCTGGCCTAAGATCATACAGTCAACAGGTGTTAAGCTGAGGCTGAACATGAGACTCTGAGGCGCACGCCTTAACTATTTAACAAAAAAGGGCTCCAAAGAATTTGGGGGAAACAGCCATACTATGAACATGGTGTAATGCACTAACACGCCCAATACCATGACAGTGTACATATGTCAAATGCTCACTGATCAAGCACAGTTCACAAGTCAAATCCCAGAGCAGTGCTTCTCATGCTACATCAAATCAGACACATGAGAACCAAGCACTACGGTAGCTGCCAGAAGAAACAGTGCCACCTCTCCATCAGGCTGCGGGCACAATGAAATAATTTCCTCAGAGCCATAGGGTGAAAAGACAGGGTGGGGCTGAGACAACAAATGCACTCATCTTAAGTACAGCTTCTCACAGGCAAACACCTCCTAAATGTCAACAGTGTAAAACACCGTTTTCCTTCCGACTTTTCAACCAAGCAATTCCAGACTCTAGAAGATAGGGACAGGTTAGAGATGACAGAGCGTTTAAGCTAAATTCCAAAACAGGATTTTACCTTGACAACTTTTCCTGATCCTAATTTCAGTCGAAGTGGTTTATCTTTGTTAGAGGTAGAGTCAAAAACCTGCCATTTGGTAAAGCGAAAAAAGTCAGCCAATTTAAAAAAAAATAATCATCGGGATGATAATCAACTAATGGGGTCAGTACTTTCTGAACAGAAAACAGCAGATCTATAATGGGCACATAGTTCCTGAAAAAGCTAAAAAGTGGAACTACAACATAGTTGGAAGTTATCACAATAAATACCCCTGAGAACAATGATTTGGCAAATGGGGGAAAAACCCATTTCTGGCACCATTAACTGAAGCACTTTTCATCTATAAAGTATTCTCAGTAAATGTACTCATTTGGTGCTGAGACAGTCCTTCCAAGTAAGCTGAACAAGTATCACTGACCTCCATGCACAAATGGGGGAATAAAAGAGCGTAATGGCAAGGTCAAATTGGGATAAAATTGGGACTTAATCCCTACACCCTTGTTTTTATTTTTGTTTTTCTTTTGGTTTTTCAAGACAAGGATTCCTCTGTGTAGCCTTGGCTGTTCTGGATTATGTAGACCAGGATGGCCTTGAACTCACAGCCTGTCTCTGCCTCCCTGAGTGCTGGGATTAAAGGCATGCACTTCCACACCCAGCTCCAAACCCTTGTTTTTTTGATACAGGGTTTCACTATGTAGCCCTGGCTAGCTTGGAATTCACTATGTAGCCCTGGCTGGCCTCAAACTCACAGAAATCTGTCTACACCTGCCTCCCAAGTGTTGACCTGAAAGAACTGTGCCACCATGACCCACACATTCACACTTTTAAAGTCATAGAGCTCTTTTTGTCATATCATATTGTTTTTATGAGTATTAAAAATATTAAAAACTTTTAAAATATTAAAAACTTTTAAAATATTAAAAACTCAAAAATTCCAACATATTTACAGTGTCTGTTAAAAAGAAAAATGGTAGCTAGACTTGTGGCAAGTGCTTTTAATCCTGGCCTCTGGAGACAGGGGTAGAGGCAGAAGCAGACAGACCTCGGTGATGTCCAGGCCATCTTGGTCTACATAGCAAGTTCCAGGCCATCCAGGACCACATAGTAAGCCCTTTTCTCAAAAAGGAAAGAAAGATGGTGAGAAGATCTAAATAAAATCTATTTCTTAAAGATATATTCAAGTTTTAAACTGGCAGTGTGTTTAAACAAGACATATACATGAATTATCCTGGGGGAACTGTTTCTACCTAACCCTGACAGAGACTGTGTGGGCACTGCTCACACTTGCACAGGAGCACTTGGTGAGTGTGCCCCAAATGCAGTTATGGAGACTAACTGAGCCTCCCCACAGGTTTCCACTGGCGAATCGCCACAGTTCCCTCTCCACGTGCATCTGGAAGGCCGCATGCCATACACAGGCAGAACTTGCGGAGTACGCTGTCTTACCTGGCCCAGCATATGATTCTGAAGGAGCCAGCCTGTATAGGCTACTTGTAAGGAATCTCCAGTGTCCACAGCAGGGCCCTCTGCTGCAAGCAGGTCCTGACACAGCACTGTCTCCAAGGAAGAAACGCTATTGCACTTGGCCACACACACCTGCAGGGTCAAAATCAGACCATAAGCTTGGTTTAAGCTTCACGGCCATCCAACCATTGCTAACATTCTTTCTCAAACACCTGCATCCAGTGACAAACAGATTACAAGGTTACAAGTAAGCAATTCCAAAGTCAGTAATCTGGCCAGGAATCAAGGTGCCTAACAAGACAGCACTGGAGTCAGAATGTCTGGATACAGAGCCGGGCATTACCAGTTCTTAATACTGACCTGAGGCAAGTAACTTAATCTCCATATACCTACCCATTCCCACTTGCAAAAAGAGCTTTGCAAATCTTACAGGGTGGTTGTGAAAATTAAACGGGCCAATACGGAGTACTTAGCAACGCACTTAGGAAGTAACAGTAAGTAACAGAGGCTCCAACCTTATGGTCTAATAATCACCTTCCAAAGACCCAACCTCCTACTTCCATTACTTTAGAGATTAGATTTCAATAATGTGACCTCTAGAGGGAAAGGTACATGGTACATTCAAGCCAAAGCAGACAAAATACACATTACTAGCTTCTAAGTAATTTTTCATGATGTGGAAAGAAAAACTATATAAAATAGAGAACTCTTGAAGAAATACCCATACTTATACCTATTACACACATTTTTTTAAAGTGATGTAATATATGTTCCTCTGGGTAGTAAAGTTATGATTTTGTGTGTATGTTGTATGTTTGTGTGGATGCACATGTATATTCAGATACATGTGCATTTGTGTATATACGTATGTGTGGAGGCTAAAGGACTACCTTGAGCGTTGGTCCTCAAGAGCTGCCCATCCTGCATTTTGAGAAAGTGTCTCTCACTGGCCTGGAGCTTGCCAAATAAGCTACACTAGCTGCCTGGGGAATGTAGGGATCCAGCTGTGTGCCTCACCAATGCTGGGATTACAAGCACGTACCACCGCTCTTGGCTTTCCCTTTCTACATGCTTCTAGGATTGAACTCAAGCCCTCATGTTTACACGGCAAGCCCTTTACCAACTAGCCCTTAAATGACGTTTTCAAAATTTTGTTTCTACATCTTCTACAATGAGTTTATAAAATTTTGACACTCTTTTGAAATGCTACTTTTACAAGTTTCATGTATCTTTAAGAAAACTATGTAGCAGCTGGGTGGTGCTGGCGCATGCCTTTAGTCCCAGCACTTGGAAGGAAGAGGCAGACAGATTTCTGTGAGGCCAGCCTGGTCTACACAGTGAGTCCAGGACAGCCAAGGCTATACAGAAAAACCCTAGCTCAAAAACAAACAAGCAAAAATTGTGTTACAAGAAAGCTGTGATTTGTGTGTGTGTGTGTGTGTGGTATTGTGCGGCTGCATGTATGTGGCTACAAGCAGGGACTCTGGCTGAACCCACAGCTTCCCAATTCCATTAGTCTAAGCAGCCAGTTGGTCTTAGGAATCCATTTCTGCCACATCCGTCCAGCACTTACATGAGTGCTGAGGATGTGAACTCTGGTCCCGACACTTGAACAGCAACAAGCATTTTAACCACTCCAGACCAGCAAAAGAGTGTTTAATCGAATAAGCTTATAATTCCCCATTTTTCCCTTTAAACATTTCCTCAGGCAGTTTCAGTAAGAACTTCTATTCTTTTCCTGAAACACAGCAAGTCTAGTGGGTTCTTTGCCTTATCATTAATAGCACAGAGAAGTTATGGTTTTGCCATAACTTAAATAAGGAAGACTCCAGACAAGCGCTGTGGCTTTGCCCAGGAAAGAGTAAGAAGACGTCACCTGCTTATTGAACGCCACAGCGGCCTTCTCTGACTCAAACATGATAGACCAGTTTTGTCTCTGGTCATCATAAAAGGTGCTGTAGTTATTGGGCCGAACCTGGGAAAAGAAAAAAAAAAATGTTTGGATAATTCAAGCAGAATGGCACGTGAGTAAATATGACCTCCTCAGCTCACGAAGGAGGACTGATTCAGGGACTAGAGAGGCAGCTAAGAGGAGCCCTTCTCCCCCACCGCACCCCTACCAGTTAGCCACGCTCCCAGACGGAGCCAGGAGACCTTTCTGAAAGGCTGTTTACTGATGATAGCCAGGCCTGAGGAGAGGATCTTTTTCTATCAGGAATGTTCAGGCCCATCCCTCCCAAGAACATAAAGGGGCTAGTGATTCCAATGTGAGGAACTCTTACCATTAGCTCAAAGTTCAGATGAATTGTAGCAACAGTCACTGGCTGCTGCTGACTGAGGTAAAGAAGAATCCTATACTGTACTCAAACACAAAAGGCAGAAAAAGAAACATGTTAAAAGGCAACACAGAATCAGCAGTAAGACATGAGGCTATACTTCATATAGCTGTAAATCTCAAAACTGCTTAGACTGTGAATTACAATTTTTACCTACTTTCATTCTGGCCTCACTTTAACTGCAATTAGCAATAGCTTTACTTTGCTGGCATTTCCATTTATATGAGGGGTGACTAAAGGGTGGTAACTAGGTGCCTTACAGAAAATACAAGACAGATTTGGTAGTACATGTCTGTAACCCCAATATTTGGGTGGCTGAGACAGGACTGCCATGAGTTTGAGCTCAGCATGAGCTATAAAATGAAACACTGTCTTAAAAAACTAACAAAAAACAACAACAACAAAAATCTTTCTAACTTGAGGGGGGAAATCATACATGTACAGCTCAGTAAATTTTCACATGTATATGCAGGTAGCTACTAGGCAGACTGAGACAAGACCAATGTTTTCTACATCCTAGATAGCTCCCTCTGCCCCCTTCTATCAATAATCTCCTCCTACCCCTCAGAACCACTACTCTGACACAGTCACAGATCAATTTCACTACAGTTACATTACTATAAATGGATCACAGATATTGAATTTGTTCTGCTTTTTTCACTTATAACATAAACTAAGCCTTGTTACTTCATTTACCAGTACTTGGTTCTCTGTACAACTGTTAGTCATTACTATTCTATATGAACAAATCACAACATCTTTATCTACTCTCCTAGTCATGGCTTTTCAAATTGTGTACAGTTTGAAACCATTATGGATAGTGTATCTATGAACTTTCTCTGTGTCTTGTGAAGGACATGGACATGTACCTAATAAACTTCCTTCAAAGTTTCCCATAATAACTATCTACTGGAAATGGATCTCTCAAGTTTTTCTTGTCTGCTAATTTATTTTGCCCTTATTTATTACAGATATTTTTCACGGCATAGGATTATGCATAGGGTCAAGATTATAGTACAGAGCTAGAGCACGTTCTTAGGAAGATCATGAATGAGAAAAAAAACATAAATGAACTTTGAAGGAACTGAGCTAATAAAGTAAGTTAATCACAAAAAGACATGATTTTACTTCCACGAGGGATCTAGAACAGGCAAATTCACAGACATAACGGATTGGAGGTTATGGGGGAAGAGGGATAGGGGAGATGTAGTGTTACCACTTAATGAATGGTTTCTGTTTGAGAATATGAAAAAAAAATGGGAATAGTGGTGATGAGTACTTAGTAATTAAGGCCACCGGATTCGGGCTGGAGAGATGGGTCAGCAGGTAAGAGCACTGGTTGTTCTTCCAAGGGGCTGGAGTCCAATTGCCAGCACCCAGCCAGAGGCTCATCACCATCAGTAACTGCAGCCCCAAGGGAATCCAACACTCTCTTCTGGCCGCTCTTAGAACCAGGCGCACGAGGAGCACACAGACATACATGTAGGCAAACCATCCATATAGAGATGATAAATAAATATAAAATAAATAAGGCAAAATACCCACTGGACTGTGTACTCAAAATGTTAAACTAAAAAATGTTATATATTAAAAAATGTATGTCACAGTCAGCCTTCTTGTGAATGGATTCCAGTCCTATAGATTTAAACCACACACTTTTTCTTATAGTCCTTAAATAATACAGCAACTGTGTAGATTTAAAGTCTATTAGATGTTACAAATAACTCAGAGGTGATTTAAAGCATATGGAAGGATATACAAGTATAATCCTCTGCCACTTTACCTAAAAATATTATTTTATCATATATATCATCATTCTATATCACAGATGGGAATGACTGTGTACATGTGTACTATACAAGGACTAAGCAAACATCCAAAGAATTAACATTCACCCTCTGGGCTAGAGACATGGTCAGTAGTTAAGAGCACTTGCTGCTCTTCCAGAAGACCTGAGTCTGGTTCCCCAAATCCATGACAGGAGGCTCAAAACCAAATGTAACTCTAACTCTAGGGCACAGATGCCTTTGGCCTCCTCAGGTGCCTGCATTCATAAGCATATTACCACAGGCAGACGCAAATACTCACACATAACTAAAAATAGTAACAAAATAAATATTTTAAGATAAAATTTGTCCTCAGACATATGGGAAGCTATGAAGGCTGCTATGTGATTTTACATGAGATATTGTTTTATTTTTCAAAGTGAAGGGTTGAGCCCTCAGTTCAACTGTAGACTGACCTGGTTTAAGACATTAGGAAAAATCAGTTTCCCAGGGCTAGAGAGTTGGCTCAGTGGCTGCACACAGTGTCTCTCTTGCATTAGGACACAGGCTTAATTCTTGTCCCCCACATGCAGCTCACAACCATCTTAACTGCAGTTCCAGGGATCCAATGCCCTCTTCTCACCTCCATGGGCAATGCACTCGTTTAGTACACAGAGAAACAATACAGACAAAATATTCATACACCTAAAGTAAAATAAATAAATCTTAAAAATTTTAAGAACCAGTCTATCTCTGAATTGTCCTGATTCTCAGGCAGGACCTTTCCAAGCTTTTGGCTGAAAACCTATCTACACTTTAAAATCTAGCAAATACAGGAGGGGAAGATAGCTACTACTTGTTACAGGTCCTCTCTCTCTCTCTCAAGTGGCTCTCCAATGCACCACAGAGCTGCAGAAATTGTTCTGACTCTGGCATAGTACCTGGACTTCTATGCCACCCCTGAATTCAACAAATGCCCCAGGGAAACTGACATTGAGCCGCGAGACTCTCCAGTTTTGTCAATTTCTCTTTTCTTGAGCAGTCTCTCTGCTGCCTAGACTACACGTACCATCAGCACTATGCTCAAAATTCAGAGCAGAGGCTGCCCAGTGCTGGGTTTTTTCTTTCTGAGATTTTCATGTATCTTCCCTTCATCTTTCTTCAGCTCTCCAGTGAGGTGGGTTTTTTTTTTCTTGTTTTGTTTTGTTTCATTTTAATCCAAAGAACTTTACAATAGAATTGTTGTAATTTCTCTCTTTCTTTCTTTCTTTCTTTCTTTCTTTCTTTCTTTCTTTCTTTCTTTCTTTCTTTCTTTCTTTCTTTCTTTTTCTGGTTTTTCAAGACAGGGTTTCTCTGCCTTGGCTGTCCTAGACTCACTCTGTAGACCAGGCTGGCCTTGAACTCACAATGATGCACCTACCTATGCATCCCAGAGTGCTGGGAATACAGGTATGCACCACCATGGTGTTGCTGCTTCTTTCTTTTTTAAGACAGAAGGTCTGTAACCCTGACTGGCCTTGAGCCCACAGAGACCTTCCTGCCTCTGACTCTCAAATCCTGGCTTTAAAGGTGTGTGCTATCAGCTATCGGCTTCTATTTTCTATTCCCTGTGAATGGGTGCTTTATCTAAATGTATGTCTGTGTGCCGTGTCTGTGCCTTGTGTGTGGCACCTACTGAGGCCAGAAGAGAGCACTGGATTCCCTCCAACAGAAGTTGGAGAGCTGTGAGCAGCAATATAGATGCTAGGAATTGAATCTGGGTCCTCTGAAAGGGAAGTCAGAGTTGTTAACCACTGAGCCATCTCTCCAGCCCCCAAAATTTATTTCATTTCATATGCATGGGTGTTCTGCCTGCTTATGGCTGTGTATTAGATGCATGCACTGCCTACAGAGGCCAGAAGAGGGCATCAGATCCCCTAAATCGGAATTACAGAGTTGTGAGCCAATATGTGGCTACTAGGAACCAAGCCCAGGTTCACTGGAAGAGAAGCCAGTACTCATAACCATTAAGCCATTTCTTCAGCCCCTTAACTGCTTTTTTTGAATTGCTTCTCCAACCTACCACCTTTTCTGGCAGTCAAGCATAGTGATATCTCAAAACTAGAATTCTAAGATCCAAATTGTAATTTCCAGTAAATGAACAGGTCCAGATAATAGTCTTCAGAAGCTGCTAATACACAAAGCAAGAGGCAGCCAGGCATCATTTGCTTCCTAATGGGAATATGAAAGATTTGCAGGACATGGGAACCAACTGCAATGGTTAACCTCATTAGATGTTGATTCAAATAGAAGTATAAGAAGAAAAACAATAGAGGAAAAAAAGAGATTTGGACACTCCTGAAAGTGGCTGAGACTAAGATGCACTATTTACTTTCTTGGGTGACAGTGGCATGATAGTTGTTTTAAGGATCTCATCTCTCAGAATTATGTACTAAAGCATTTACCGCTGAAACCGTATATTGGAGATCTGTGTAAAACAACCTGAGTGGGAAAAGAAAGAGGTTAGGGTAGGATCACAGATGAAAGACTAATAACCGTAGAGCTTATGCTAATACTTGTGGCTTAATATTTAAGTCCCACTGATTTGTGTTTCAAATTTCCTATACTTGTTTTGGAGTGTCTCAGAGTGTCGTTCTTTGTGTCGGTCACCATGGGCAGCTAATCTTAGCTTTGTGCTAAGAGCAGCTGAACAGCAAGAACCCTGTGTTCTCTGGGCCTCTAAAATACACTTCACCTTGACTAATATACAGTGGTCAACTGCTCACCCTTACTTTCAGACTTGCAAAGAATAAATGTTGGTCCTTAACACAGGCTTAAAGATGGAATGTACTGACAGTACGATGAATGATCATTAGCTACCCAATAATGATCATTAACTACCCATCCTTGACAGTTACTCTAAAGCTTTCTAGTCTCACACTAGAACCATCACAAGGGAGCTGTCTAAAGCAAACATTCTAAGCAGCTGCACTTTTTTTTAGTGCATAACAGTAAGCAAACTAGGGCCATCTACTCAATCCTAATAGTACCCACTTGGAGTTATCCTCTGACCAGGCCAATAAAAACCAGACCCCTGGTATTAACAATACTTAGGATGTGGCATATGAATAAATATTGGTCTTCTTACCTCTCTGGTTGTGTGGTTCCCCAGGACAGCAGCTCCAAATTTGCCCTGCTTTGCATATTGACTATTTATACTATTGAAGCAAGAAAACAACAAATATCAGAACCCCCCTAAACCATGATGAGCCAGTTCTCTGTTCTCACGCAGCTAGGCATTTGGCCTTTAGAAAAGGACAGAGGCAAGCAGTTTTTTACTTCCCTTTCTTTCTTTGAGACAGGGTGTAATTGGTATAACTCTGGCTGGTCTAGAACTTGGAGATCCTGCAGTCTCTCCCTCCCAAATGCTGGGATTAAAAGTGAGGGCTACCATACCCAGACCCAACTTCTTTATTCTTGAATCATCCATTATCCACAGCATCCTTTAGAAGTTAGGAAGCTGCTATGGAGGACTTAAACACTACCAGCACAGACATGATAATGCTGAGTTTCTCTGAGGCTCTGTCTAGGCAAACGCTGAGAAAATAGGCTGCAATGCACACAGGCTTCTGAGAAAGGACAGGAACTGCAGCCTGCACTTCCCTGCCCTCCACCAGCGCAAGGAGCTTTCTCTCCCAACTACTTACTATCGGTATGCATACACTGCAGTTGCAAACAGCACTGAGGAACTGCTTGTGGTGGCTGTTACTGGTTTTGGTGCTGTCTGAGTTCCTGAAGATGAAGAAAACAAAGATGTCATTCATTGTTTGATTTTTTTTTTATATTTCATACATTTTTTATTAATTTGAAAATGTTACATGTTCCTTTTCTGGGTACATTTCTCTTCCCTACACTAAAGAGGCTACTTGTTGTGTCTTTTTCAAACTATTCTCCTACTCCAAAAGAGGAATATTACCTTATATAAAGTTTATTACTATCTCTGGTTATTATATTTCAAAATAGGATTTGTAGTCTTATTTATAATTCTAATAAAATGATAATTTACACACCAGAAAAACAGACCCAATTATGAATTCTAATCTTTGAAATGACAAAACAAAATCTTAAGTAAAGCTTATTGAACCTATGGACAATTTTTAAGTCTTACAGTTTGGAAGCATTACTGTAATGTAACTGATAAGTGATACATTTTTTTTGTACAATCTTAACTATTTAATTGTATGAATACACCTCAAATGTAGCCTCAGAATTCCACTTCACAATTTACAGTTACCGTAACAATGCTTTCACTGTCGTCGCTCTCCTCACTGGAGCCACAGACAGCTCTGTGACTTTGTCAGGTGATAAAGAAATAGGCTGCGACTGAGCTTTACACAACAACAGCTGAGAAGGCTCGAATCACTCCAGCCCCAATACTATACACGACAGGCAAATTTTCTGGCTGGACAAGAAGTCTAGAAAATAGGGCCATACTACAGCTTTCTCTTCTCTTTTCAGTGCTCTAAGCTAAGGTATATAAAGCTAGATCCTCTTCCAGTGCAGGGAATTTAGGATAATATGGATGAAAGTTCCTGGAAGGAACCCTACCTGACACTCAACCCTACAAGGCTAATCAGCCAATTAGAAGGCTAGTGATTGGGCAGACATAGGAATGTTTGCAGGTTCACAGTCCAATTACAACTATTCTGAGCTTTCTCCAGCCCCTTAACAGGGTCCTCTTACTCACTCCTGTGTCTAATCTAACATCCTGGTGACTAACAGGCAGAGCCTTCTGGAATGTATTAACTTAGAAGACCACTAGCTTCCACCAAACAAAAGGCTAAGAATGTCATCAGACCGGCATACAGCAGAGATTTCCTCAGTCTGTTTTAACCTCATGCCTCCACCAAGGCACATGAGAAGTGCCTTGATTTGTGACTTTCTTTGTTCTGTTCCCATAAAATTTCACCAAACTGTTACCACATTTCATTGTGAGATTTGGGGAGACCTGAATCTGTGTTCCTGAGCCACAATGGCTCATTTTTGGCTTCAGAATAAACTCTTGTCCCCTTTGAGGTGATGGCTCTACTTTTGCATCAACATTTAAATCACACCCATTACCTAAATCTGTCAATGGCTATACAGTAATGCTAATGATTCAAAAAGGCATGTTAATAGTAAATTGCATTCTGCTGTTGTTTTAGTTTTTGTATGTCTTTCTGTCTGTCTATTGGAGACAGGGTATTCTTTGTGTCGACCAACATGGTCTGGAACTCATGATCCCCCTGCCTCAGCCTCCTGAGTGCTGGGATCACAGGTGTTCACCATTACACCCAGTGGTAAACTAGATGCTAAGCTCACTAGATGAATATCTTGGTAGAAAATCAATGAGAGAACACTAACTAAAAATTAGTGAAGTTACTTTCAAACGCCTTTTTCTCTTTTATTTCTCTGTATGAACACCTCTCTTCAATTTTAGAGTACAGTGTAGAATGTCAGATAAACATAAGAAAGCACAATGAAAATAAAAATCACCCATAACCTCATCACTCAGATTAAACATCAGTAAACAAGTATTTATTCTGAGTCCTTTCTCTGTACACATAAGCTTTGCAGTATCTTTTTAGTATTTTAAATCAAAATGAAGATTCACCTTGGCCTCTTCCATTTCTCAATGACTATATTATAAGTCTTCTCTATACTTTCCAAAACAAACCTGGGTGGATGGCTCATGGCAACTGCCTGAACTGCTTCTTTATTATGACAAAATACTATGACTAAGTCTAGGAATTTACCTAATTTCTTTTTTTTTTTTTAAGATTTATTTATTATTTATACAGCATTCAGCCTGCATGTGTGCCTACAGGCCAGAAGGGTACACCAGATCTCATTATAGATCATTATGAGTCACCATGTGGTTGCTGGGAATTGAACTCAGGACCTTTAGAAGAACAGCCAGGGCTCTTAATCTCTGAGATATCTCTCTAGCCCCTACTTAATTTCTTAGTGTGCTTCATTTCTTTGAGCAGATTCCAAATTTTCTCTGTTATACATAATGCTATGGTGAACATCCTTTAAAACACACAAACACATTTTTTTGTGTGTGACCTCTGACTCCTTTCTTAGACTAAACTAAAAACAGAATTCTGAGATGAAGCAGTATAAAGACTTTTTCTTGACTCTCCCCTGCCCCAGTGTCCTTTGGAAATGCCTCGGCAATTTATACTCTCATCAGGAGTACAGCTGTGACTACTCCACATCACTGACAAGGGGACTGTCTTTTTAAATCTTCACCAAGTAACAGGAAAACAGGAAGCAGGGGCTAACCATCTCACTGCTGTTTTATCTGAATTTACTGATTATAGGGAAGCAGAAACTAAACACTGCCCCAGGGCTTGGCACCCAGAAACAGGATACTAGCCTAGGAGGAACGGGAACGAACTGTGAAAAATGAAGTGACCCCTCTGTTATTTGCTGATTTTCTTAGGGGTTTGTTCTATATTTTCCTTACTGTGTTGAGAAGCAATATGCAGTTCAGTTTAATGTGTACTTTCTGGTATGCAGCACTCTAATAAGTGTTTTCTCCTGATGGAGTAGTCGACAGGAGTGGGCTGGGGAGGCCAGCGTTAGACATTAGTCTCTGTGGCGGCCATTCTAGCATCCTCCTTGGGGTGAGGACAGTGACCTGCAGTGCTCTCAGGCTAGCATCACCAAGCTCATGCCCTGAAGAGGGAAAGCTGTTTCTGCATCTGCCAGGGACACAGGCAGAGCATGGCCATCACCCTGATCTTCTCATTGGCTCAGGGTTCTTCCTTCTCTGAAGTCAACATGATTCTGATTCTTGGACTGGGCACTCAAGAGGAAATCTTATAACGTGTAGTCTTGAAAAAAAAATGTTTTTGAGGAAAATTTCTCTACTAAGTTAGTAAAAACTAAGTTAGTCTCCTTGTTCAGGGGATGATTAGATTTTTTTTTCTTATATTCACTAATTCATTATACATTCATTATATATATTCTTATATTCACTAATTCATTATCTATACTTATATCCACAAATTCATTAGTAAACTTATGTTGAGCCCTTTTTAATTTCTTCATTTGAAAAAAAAAGCTTTCTTCTATACCCTACTTATATCTATAAAGGTAAAAATCTCTGTTTATTCACTCCAGTGTGACTTTTAGCTTCTTCACTTGAAAAATACTTTTTTTAACAGAAAAATATTAAATTTCCCTACCTTTCCCGGGCATGGTGGAATATGCCTATAATCCCAGCACTCTGGAGGCAAAGGCAAACGGATCTCTGAGTTCGAGGCCAGCTTGGTCTATAAAGCAAGTCCAGCCAAGGCAACACAGAGAAACCCTGCCTCAAATACCACCCTCAAAAAAAAAAAAAAATCCCAACATTATGAAAAAAAGGGAGGAGGGAGGGCAAGGGAGATAGCTCAGTCATTAAAAATGCTTGCTGCCAAGCCTGATGGCCTGAATTTTATCCTGGGACCCATATGGTGAAAGGAGACAACTGACTCATTAAAAAAACAATTAACCAGAATTCTATGAGTAATTCCAGTCAATTCACTGAACCCAGGAGAGGGTACCATGAGACCCCTAGTCAGGCAGAAATACAGATAGCCTGACTATCGACTGCCTTCTTAGGTGAGGAAAGTCTTATAAAGTAACCCTCTATGTGAGGGATCTGACATTATGCCCAGGCAGAAAACTTCAGAACTGAACTGCATCACAGGATACTCAGATGGTGTCAGCTGCAAAACTGCTTAGTGCCTAAGGAGGATCCTCCACCAGAACTGCAGAAGTGTGCCGTGAGGACTCCAAGGGAACGAACAGGAGTGTCTGTGTCTTCCTCTTACACGCCATGCATGAGATGCCAACATCCTGCCAAGTATCCTCAGACTGGTCAGCATCATGCCTGGCATGTAACAGGCCTCCACTTAGAAATTCAAGTATTTAGCTTAATGTCCCTCACTTCCTGCTCTCCTCAGGGCTTTCATATCACAAACCCCTTATCCTCTTCAGCTTCTTGCCTCAAAACAGCAAAGTACAGAGGAAAAAGAAAGCTGTGCAGTCAAGTCAGTTCAGATTTCAAATTTCAATCCTGCCAGTACGGTTGACTGATCAAGTTCTGAACTGCTCAGAGCCTCCAAATTCCGGTCATGTTGCCTACTTTACAAAATGGTTGTGAGAATGAATCCACGTGAAGCACCTAAGACACGGTGCAGACACATTAGAGCCATCAGCTGGTCATTTCTGCACCCACAGTCAGGAAGCAGACAGAAATAAATGCTGCTGTTCTAATCACTCTCCTTTTCACTCAGTGCTGGATCCCAGCCCATGGGATGGTGGCAGCCACACTAAAGTGGGCTTTCTTACCCAGTTAACCCATTATAGAAACTCCTCACAGATATGCCCAGAGCTGCTCTTCTAACTGATTCTAAGTCCCATCAAACTGACTTAATCCTCACAGCATGTCACTTTCCAAGGACAGCCATTCCAACTAATCTATATTAAGACACAATCCTGATGCCTCTGAACTTACCTGTTGCTGCTATTCCCTGGCCTTTCTTAGGCTGCTTTGGGGCTGTGTACTGGAAGAATTCATTTCCATGGCCCAGAGTTGCTTGATCCAGTCCAAAAAGAGAAGCCAGTTTGGCACTGTTAATGGAAAAGGAAAACAAAATTTCATTTTGACATGTCCTGAATTTGCAATTACTTTAAACACTGATGCCTGTAATCTTAAATATCTCTGGTGGTGTAACTTACCATTCAGTAACAGAAACAGCTACTGGGGCTCTCGGAAATCAAGACCATATTTGTGATTTGATATCAACAGTTGACCCAAGCTCCATCTGAGTGTACATCCTAAAGATTTTTCACATGCATTCACCACTCCCCACTCTTACTGTCACTTCCTCAGTTTATGCTGCCGTCACCTCTGTCTAGTTTGACTACTCCAACAATCTCCTAATTCACTTCCCTACTGTGTCTTATATAGTTCTTTTTTTTTCTCTACCTCTCCCCCCCAGCCCCCGCCAGCTCTACTGCAGTACTGGGGACTAACCAGAGGGCCTTGAGCATGCTAGGCAAGTGCTCTACCACTGAGCTATATCCACCACAACCACCCCTTTCTTCTATGTTACTTCACTTTACAATGAAGTCTTGCTAAATTGGCCAAGCTGGCCTTGAACTCTCAACCTTCCTATGTAGCTGGGATTATAGGCCTGAGCCACCAGACCCAACTCTTCTTACCCATTTCTTATACAAACTCACACTGCATCTACGTGATTATACTTGATCACTTTTCAACATTAGTAAGATACAGACTTGGAACTTGGGCCACCAAGATGGCTTAGTGGGTAGAGGTGCTTGTCGCCAATCCTGACAACATGAGCTCAAGCTGTAGTAATAATGTGGTGAAAGGAGAGAAACAATTCCTATAAGTTAACCCTGACCTCCATACTCATGCTATGGCACAGGTGTGCCTTTGCCCATGCATCTACACATACAATAAATAAATAAATGTAAAAAAAAATTTTGAAATCCAAACTGTACAAGACAATTTTAGAGTACACTTCAAGATTTCTTCTCTCCCTAGTAGAGGAGGGGAACCAACCAACCCCCAAAGACTTCAACCCAAACTTTACCCTGTCTATGAGATGTGAAGGGACAAAGAGCAGATAGAGCAGAGATTGAGGGAATGGCAATGGCACTATGAAAGCTAAGGTCCCAACCCAAGACTCACACTATAGGAGAGTGCCAACCCCTGACACTATGAACGACACTCTGCTAAGCTTGCAGACAGGAGCATAACAAGAGTTGTCCTCTGAGAGGCTCTACCCAACAGCGCCTCAAAACAGATGCTGAGACGCAAAGCTAAACATTGGGTGATGCATAGAAAGGCTTGTGAAAAAGTGGGAAGAAAGAGAAAAGGACAGGAGGTGACAGGAGCTCCACAAGAAGACCAACAGACCCAACTAACCAGGCCCAGAGGGCTTGCTGAGACTGAAGCACCAACCAAGGACCATGCAGGAACTAGACAGAGGCCCTCTACACAGATGCAGCAGACGGGCAGCTTAGGCTTCATGTGGGTCCTCTAGTAAGAAAGGGGGACTACACTGGACGCAGACTCACTTGCCAGCGTTTTGATCACTTCCATCTGGCAGAACTGCCTTGCCAGGCCACAGGGGAAGAGGACACACTCAGTCCTGATACAACTTAGTAAACTAGAGTGGACAGGAAAGGGAGCTCCCCTTTTCTGAAGAAGAGTCGATGGGGAAAGGAAAAGGGAAGGAGAGTGGGACTGGAAGGGGAGGAGGGATGGGGCTACAACAATGATGTAAATTAAATAAAGAAAAAAATCTCATCTCTCATCTCGCCTTACTTCTGCAGCTTCATACTTGGCCACTTCTTACCTCCAACTGTGTGCTGCAGGTACTATAAGAAACCTCCAGTTTCTTTTTAAGATCTTTAAAATAATAATTATTATTGGAGTTTGTTTTTGAGACAGGTCTCACTACATAGCGCTGGCTGTCCTGGAAATCACGATGTAGACCAGGCTGGCCTCCAACTGAGAGCTCCGCCTGCCTCTGCCTCCCCAGTGCTGGGAGTAAAGGTGTGCACCTCCATGGCCATCAGGAAGATTTTTTTTTCTGTGTATGGATGTTTTGACTGCTTGTGTCTATCCATCACATGCATGCAGTGCCTGCACAGGCCAGAAGAGGGCATCAGATTCCCGGGGACTTTTGTTACACAGGATCTTAAACTGGCATGTGGGTTAGGAATCAAACCCAGATTCTCTGGAACCCAGAACTCTTAACCAGTGGGCCATCTCTGAATTCTTGTATAAGGCAATAATTTGGGGGAGGAGGGACATATGCTGGAGATTAAACTCAAGAGTCTCATGAAGGATGGGCACAGACTTTATCATTAAGCCACACCCCCAGGCCAACGTAAGATCCTTTCAAACTCCAACCTTTAGACATGCATTCTTTCAACCTGAAGCATTCTTTCTGGCCTGCTCTCTCTAGAAACTGCCCTAATCTAAGTTAAATTGTTTTTTCCAATGGCTTAAGAGATGTTAGGCACTATACTAAGTCCTAGGGAGACACAGTGAGCAAAATGATTTTTTCCAGAAGTTTATAGTCAAATGAGGATGTTAGATATTAAGTAACATATAATCACAAAATATGAATTATCCAAACGGGCAACAGTTATTCAGCATTGTACTCCAACTAAGTCCTAAATTTCTTTTCATTAATTACTTAGCCAGTCTGTTCTATTCTGTTATAGCAATACAAATCAACTGAGAAAATAATTAACTCTCGAATCCAGTCTAGCCTTGAACTCCTCTTCTCCAAAGTTCCTCTTAGTTTGGGTGTACAAACTCTGAAGCTTCTCAACAACACAATTCTTCTGGCTTTTTAAAAAATATAATTTATATGTACATATAAATATAAGTTAGCATTTCACAAAATACATTCAATGTGGTTTGGCATTACTATTTACTTAAAGAATGCTTCCTTTAAGTGTCCTATAAATGGAGCCACAAATGCTTACTTTAAAGACAACGAGGTTCAAATGAGGTTTACAAGTGTAATACATGAGGAAGAGTAGCTGACTTAACATCATCAAATGCTAAAAGAACAGAGAAGAAACTGAGATTTTTCCTTTTAACCAAGGTGACCTAAAGACTCCCTCTCCTTTCTTTCTTTTTAAAGTGTCTAACTATGCAGCCCTGGCTGCCCAGAACTCCCACTGTAGACCAGGATGGACTTGAACCCACAGAAATTTACTTTCTTCTGCCTCCTGAGTGCTGAGATTAAAGGCATAAGCTACCATGCCTGGCTAGGGTTCCTTAAAGAAGCAAAATTCTGGGAGAGTTGAGCAATACATTTAACAATAGTATTCAACAATAATAAAAAACTGTCCAATCTTATATATATTTTAATAGCTTATCACTACTGTGTATGTATGATGTGTATGTGTTTGTGTATGTAGGAGTGTATGTGCTGTGTGTGTGCATGCTAGATAGAGGGCAACTTTGTGATTTACGGGGATTTAGCTTAGGTTTTAAAGGCCTTATCCACTGAGCTATTTTGCTGGCCCAAAGCTTACATCTAGATAAGGTATAATTGCTTACATACAAATAATTGGTAATAAAAAGGTCAGGTAGGGCTGTAGCTCATAAGCTCACTGGTAGAGTACTTGAGCCCAGGAATTTAAGAACTTCCAGGGTGCTGGGCATGGTGGTGACACCTGTAATTCCAGTGCTCTGGGGGGCAGAGGCAGGCAGATCGCTGTCAGTTTGAGGCTAGCCTGGTCTACAAAGCAAGTCCAGGACAGCCACAGCAACACAGAGAAACCCTGTCTCAAAACACACATTCACACACACACACACACACACACACACACACACACACACACACACAC